GGGTGGGATCAATGGGATGCCTTTATTTAACATACATGCCCCGTGCGATCTTCTCCTGTGCTTGTTCGTACCCTGTCACGAAGCCGTGTCAAAGTCGCTAGAGCGGATTGGAGTGGGGGACGGAGGGGATTGGTTCAACGTGGTCAACGAGGGTCAACGTGGGTAGACATCGCACCTGAAAGCGCGCTAGTGCGTCAGTGGCAATATGGGGTAAGCGGACCCCATGTGCGGTGCCACTCTCTCCTCTTCCACCGCATTGCACCGCTCCCACCGTATTACGTACCGTCACCTAACTCCCTCATCGCACCTGAAAGCGCGCTAGTGCGTCGGCGGCTATAGTGGGGTAAGCGGATCCCATGTGCGGCGCCGCGTTCACATAGTACAGCGGCGTCGTCACCACGAACCGCTCGCGCGCGCCGCCGCCTTGCTCCTCCCCTCCCGTTGTGCTGCATCGCGCCGCCCTCGCGCGCCTCGGTACTAGGCGTGCCGTGGACCAGATCCCCGCCGAGCCGCGAGGAGCGCGCGATAGGACGGTAGTGGGTGAGCTAGAGAGGTAGTGAGGTGTGCGGAGCGGTGGGGTGAAGGGTGACGATAACCGCGAGGCTGCTGCAGGAGGCTTCGGGAACTTTCGTGATGGTGGATGGAAGGGAATGAGGAGCGATTCAGAGAGGGGAGAGAGCGGCTCGGAAGACGAACTAATCATTGTGGCGGGCGTTGCGGCGGATGCAGCGCAGGGTGTTGCGGCGGCTATTGCAAGAATCGCCGCGGCGCGAGCCGGCGGAATGCCGTGGAAGGCGGAAACGACAGACGCGGCGGAGGGGCGGAGAAAGGGCGCGGACGGGCGGAAAAAGGGCGCGGAGGTGCGGAGAAAAGGCGCGAAGCGTTGATGCGGAGGCGAATGGGCTACGCGGCGACACAAGAGCCCTGAAGAGCGGCGACGATACGCGCATCGACCGACGCGCGCGACGCGACGGATGCGGGGGGTCAATGGGATCGAAGGGATGCGATGGACTCTTGGGTTCGTCGCGTCCTACACACCGCCTTTGGCAATTCGCCAATCACGAGTCTCAGCGGCTTCTGCCAAGTCAGGGTGCTGCTGGATAAAAGACTGTTTTGCTAACTGCCTCAAAGTTGACTGGCCCGGCTTGTTAGTGGTTTTAATCGCGGTCTGCAACGTGGAAGCCGCTGAGACTACCAACGCTGACGTGGAACGGAGGCAGCAAAGTCGTGGCTTGGGCGTGAACCAGTCATGGACATCCTCGTTTGAGCCGTTAGCGAATATTAAAATGTAATGAGTGTAGATGTGCAAGGCCTAACAACTGCAAAAGTGGCATGCTAAATTCAAGTCCAGCCACGCCCAAGCGAAGGCACATGTGCGGTTACATTTCGTGTCGTCGCGAACATGTGGTTCTCGTCCCGTCCCGTGCCAGCTCAACCCGTCGGGGTCACAAATGTGTACGGCGTGGTCCCGAGGGCGAATCTCGCAAATCTCGCACAATTGATGAGTTCATCTCTCCCTAAGACCAGCTTACACCGCTTTAGACCGTATAATAGTCGTTCTGAAACAGACATCACCTCACTACACCCAGGGTCATTCACCCAGGTTCTTTTGAACAAATAATGTGGAATATTCAAGCAATGCAAGCAGATTGTTTTTTGCTCCAATCCGCACCTCCCATTTCGCCTCTCTCACAGAATCTCACTGATCTGTTGTTGTTTCTCTCTAACTCTGCCCCTTATCCGCTCCTTTCTATCCTCTCCTTTCGCTGCGCGACTGGTTTAGTAACGGCACGACACGTGGCGTAACTGCCGCCTCCCGATCTATCAGCGGTTGGATTCTTGAGCACTAGGAGGGCGACCCGAATCGTCGTCGTCGTCTGATCGTCCAGTCGAGTCAAGCGACACCCGTCGCACGTGTCGCACGCGTCGCCATGGGGTGGTACACGTCGCTCATCGTGCTCGTCGTCGCCGTCGCCGCGGCGGCCGTTCTCACGCCCGACGCCATGGTGCGTGCGTCTCTTGCCTCTCGTCTCTCGTCTCTCTCCTCTCACAGCTCCCTTATTGTTCACCCGCGCATCTCGTACCCGACGCCTTGATGCGCGCGCGCGGCCCCCCCCCCTCCCCCCTTCCCCTTTTTTCCCTTCTCCCCTACACGGCCGCGTGCGTCACTCGTTTTTCTCTCACAGCTCCCCTACCGTGCATCGCGCACGTCGTAGCCGACGCCATGGTGCGTGCGCGCAAGACTTTCCCCTCGCGCTGCTCATGCCTCCGCTGTGTTCTCTGTGTACTGCGGATGCGTTTTCCCCTCCTCGTCTTCTGAGGCGCCTCTTTTTTTTAGGAGTTTTTAGGCGCGTAAAAAATCGCCGTGCTTTCTGTGTACTGCGGATTCGTTTTCCCCTCCTCGTCTTCCTACGTCTTGTCTTCCGTCATCTCCACTTTCTTCTCTCCGTCCCCCGGCCCCTTTCCCCCTCCAGCTACCATACGGCCGCGGTGCCAAGCCCAGCGCTGCTCTGCTGTTTCCGTGGCTCTGATGCGCTCGTCCTCAAACCTCCTTCCCTCCGGCCCCTTTACCCACTTCCAGCTACCATAAACGGGCCGCGGTGCCAAGCCCAACGTCCCTTCCTCTCACGCCACAGTGTTCGCAGCGCTACGGTTTGTGCACGTGCTGTGCTGCCCTGTGGCTCTGACGCTCTTCTCCTCAACCCTCTGTCCCTCCTCCCCGCTCCCCATGCAGCTGCCATACCGCGCCAAGCCCAGCGCCCCCTTCCTCTCTCGCCCACGGCGTTCGCAGCGCTGCGCTTCGACCACGTGCCGTGCTGCTCCGTGGCTCTGACGTGCCCTCTCTTTTCCCGTTTTCCCTCTCTTCTTCCATTCTTCCCTCCTCCCGTCCTCCCTGCAGCTGCCATAACCGCGCCAAACCCAACGCCCCCTTCCTCTCAGCCGACAGCGTTGGCAGTGCTGCGCTTCGCCCACGTGCTGTGCTGCTCCGTGGCTCTGGGGGCGTCGGTGTGGTGACCTTCTTTGCTGGCGTCATCATGTTGCCGGTGCGATGCGAGCTGGGGGGGTGGGAGTAGCTGGGGGGTGGGAGTAGCTGGGGGGTGGGAGTAGCTGGGGGGTGGGAGTAGCTGGGGGGGTGGGAGTAGCTGGGGGTGGGAGTAGCTGGGGGGATGCGATGTTCAGGTAGGTGGGCGGCACAGACACATGCTCCGTGGCTCTGGGGGCGAGAGAGCAGTGGAGTTTGTGAGAGCAGGTGCGAGGGAGATGAGAGGCGGGTCAAAGGGAGGGACACATGGGTCACTGCTGCTGGATATGAGCGGCAGGTCCCTTCTTTGCTGGCGTTTAGATGTTCCTGTGAGAGGTGGAGGCAGAGAGATGAGAGATGGGAGCCGGGAGAAGGTATACGTGAGAGAGTAGCTCCGAGGGGGGTAGCAGAAACAGGGGGCCCACTTCCCCCTCATACACACCCCCACACAGCCCCCTCCCCCGCCACACTTCGGCAGCATCCAGGATCGTCCTCTTCCCAGCCTACTTCCGCCTTGTGGGCTCTCTTTCAATCACTCACACCTCCCTCCTTCCCCCCCGCGGTTCCTCACCCCCCATCCCCCGCGCAGCCACCTCCCCCTCCACACCTTCGGCTCGGCAGCATCCAGGGCCGCCGTTTCCACTCACCTTGGCTCTCTGCCTTCCTCCCCTCCCTCCCTCCTCTTTCCCCCACACCCCACACAGCCACCTGCCCCGCCAGCAACCTTTGGCAGCATCCAGGGTCGTCTCTTCCCGGCCTACTTCCGCCTTATGGCCCTCTCCTCTGCCCTCTCTGCCCTTGCTCTCAAACTCACTCTCAACCCCGCCGCTGCTGCTGCCGCTGGTGAAGCTGCTGGTTCCGGGGCAGGGGGGTTGCAGCAGGTGCAGCTGCTGCTGCTGGTGGCTGCTCTTTCTGCCGCACTGCTGAATCTGCTGCTGTTCGAGCCTATCACCACCAAGGTGGGTTGGGATATAGGTACTTAGGCAGTCATGCTGTATTTGGAACCACATCAAAAACAAATCAGATATGCTGCTGACTTCTGAGGCGTCCTCAAAAGTCATGCTATACTTGGAGCCAAATGAGCCTATGTGCTGAATGAGCTGAATCAAATATGCTGCTGCTACTACCCTGCGCTTGCTGTCTCTGCACTCTGTTGAATCTGCTCACTCTGCTCACTCTGCTCACTCTCCTCACTCCACTGTTGCTCGAGCCTGTGACCACCAACGTGCATCCGTGCTTTCACCCCTCACCCCCTCAAGGGGCACGTGCATTTTGAGGCGGTCTTTTAAGCGCCTCAAAAGTCGACTTTTGAGACGTCTCAAGGGGCACGGCATAGAGGAGGAGGCAGGGATCAGGGATGAGGCGAACAGCATTAGAGGTTGACCCGTTGCTTCACGACATGCATTCGTGCGTTCTCCCTTGCCCTCCCCCATCGTCTTGTTCTCATACAGATCATGTGCGAGCGGCACCGCATAGAGAAGGAGGCAGGCATAGGGGAGGAGCCGGGATTGTTGAGGAAAATATGTTTTTTTCTTTCATGCCGTGCATTATTGCCTCCCTTTTTCTTTTTCTCATACAGATCATGCGCGAGCGGCACAGCATAGAGAAGGAGGCAGGCATCGGGCAGGAGGTGGGGCTGTCGCGCAACAGGGAGGTCGCACGGACCAATAAGGAGCTGGCAGCTGTCAACCGCCGGTTCGGCATGTGGCACGGCATGTCCTCTCTCTCCAATCTCGTTGCGCTCTGCTCCCTGGGCGCTAACGCGTGGTTCCTTGCACAGCAGCTCCCTGTCTAGCAGCTGTGCCCTTCCCATGTAGTAAGACGCTGCCGGCAGCAAACCAGGATTCAGCATGGCATGTCCTCTCTCGTCCAATCTCGTTGCGCTCTGCTCCCTGGGCGCTCACTGCTTGGTTCCTTGCACAGCAGCTCCCTGTCTAGCAGGCTAGCAGCTATTGTTGAGGCACCTCAAACTTTGTGTGCTCCTTAAGTGCTCTCGCTTGGTTCCTTGCTCAACAGCTAGCTGATGTGCCCTTCTAACCTGGTAGGAAGCTGACAGGTAGTTACCAAGTCGTTGACTTGGCCTGTGGCATTGCCCTCTTCTGTACATCGATGTCCAGTGTCCACGCTTTGTTCCTTGCTCATACCATAGATGATGCTTGGTTCATCGCTCTTAGATGGATGCTATAGTACAGCCGTGTATGGGGTGGTTGTACTGTACACATGGCCGCAGGTCCCTAAACGTCAGTTTTTTTATGTTGATTCCGGTAAAAAAAGGACAATTTAATTTACAGAGACCCCGTTTTAGTATGAGGATTTCAAACTTCATGTTCTTGAGATGCACCAGCTTGTAACATAAAGATTAAAAGAAGGTTATGGATGGTTTAGGTAGGAGGAGTAGTAGCTGATGTCATATTCACATTAACAGTGATTCTAGATAGAATGACATGAACAGTGTTTTGACATAGTTGAGTTCCTTCAGAATTCACTTTAGCTGGACTGGCACACGAAGTGTACTATAAACACATGTACAGCCGTTGTTGCGAAACTGTGCGACGAATTTGGAATCGCTGCTAGTCGCAGGAGATATCTGGTGCAGTGCTCTGCTTGTGGGAGAGAAGGGAACTTAGCTTTTTCGAAGCGTAGAGTACTTGCGCCTGACTGGACCCGACTACCGTAATTAGAACTGCGGGTTAGTGCTCGACGTAACGTCGTTCGCTTGGGGGAGGGTAGGAGGACGGCACAGCTGTCGAACTTCGGGGGTTGCGTAACAATTGCGATTCATACATACTTCCGTTTCACGTTGGTTCGAACGCTCAGCAGCTTAGCCCTGGTTTCAAGTGAACCGGGCTTCTTTTTTGTGGGTCGGTATTCGACCCGTTAGCGTCGTCATTTCCGGTAGGTTCCCCGACACGTGCGTCGTCGCTTGGCCACGGCGGTACGATCACCCTGATAGTTCCAACAGGATTTTGGAAAAGCCAATCATGCGATCCGCGCATTCGTGGTAAGCTAAGGCCTAGTGTTCCCGGCTGTTGTCGCTTAGTTACTTCGGCTGCAGACTTCGCTAGCTTGATTCCCTGGGATAGTTCCACGACAGCGAAAAAACACGGTTGACTGCATTATCCGATCGTTACATGCGCTGCTCGTTCAACCTCTTTCGCGAACAGACTCTCGTCGCAGCACAGGGTCGGAGTAACCATTTTGGGTTACCAGCACCGGCGAAACGACGATGCGGAAGCGGGAGCGCGAGAACCCATGTTACATCTGCGGACACTACCATAAATACGAGGAGGGGGAGCCGTGCGGGGTGTGCGGGCATCGATTAATCCCCGCGGACGAGCGCAGCAACGGCGCCGCGGCGCAGGCGCACAGCGCGTTCTCGTCGGAGATTATCCCAGGGTTCCTGTTCTGCGGGAGCTACGACAACGCGTCGCGATCGGAGCTACTTAAAGCGCAAGGGATCACTCGGATCCTAAACGTGAGCGATCGGAGCCATAGGGGTGCCAGTGTGCGGAAGGGTATATCGGTGAGGTTTAGGGGGGTGCGAGCTTAGCTGTGCTAAGTCACGCCGTTTTCTTTGAAATGTAGGTGATTGGGGAGGAGGTGCGGAGAAGAGCAATAAATCTGCACTGTCCCTTGCAGTGTCATTGCACTTATCCCTTGTTTGCCTTTATCATCCCTCCAAGTGTTCAGTCTTGAAATGCCATCACGGCATGTTGACCGTGTCCATTATTGTTCCTTTCGCTCTTCTCATCCACACTCCCCTCCTCTCCCCCCTCCTCGTGTGGTGTGGCCTGGTTTTGTGCCGTGGCTGGTGGCTGTGTGCTATGACTGCTACTCCCTGCAGACCGTACCCACGTGTCAGAACCTCTATAAGAATTCCTTCGTTTATCACACAGTGCAAGACAGCAAGGTCATTCCCTTCGAAGAATGCAACCAATTTATTGGTATTCTTTCAATCAACCCGTGCCATGCTTTCCTCGCCATGCCATGCCATGCCATCATGACCTCTCATGCCATGCCATGCCATCATGACCTCCCATGCCATGCCATCATGACCTCCCATGCCATGCCATCATGACCTCCCATGCCATGCCATGCCATGCCATGCCATGCCATCATGACCTCCCATGCCATGCCATGCCATCATGACCTCCCATGCCATGCCATGCCATGCCATCATGACCTCCCATGCCATGCCATGCCATGCCATCATGACCTCCCATGCCATGCCATGCCATGCCATCATGACCTCCCATGCCATCTGCCCCTTCGCACTTTTGCCTCATCATTCAGTCCTTCCTTCAGGCCGTCCACACACACCTATTCTTCCTCTCCCCCGGTCATTCTATCCACCCTCAATCTCCTCGCATCGTCCCCGCGCCCCTCCGCGCCTTACCACCCTTTTCCCTTCCCGCATCACCCAACATCATCACTCCTCCGTTCAATCCTCCGTCCCAACTCCCCTTTTCGTTCCCTTTGAGGAGAATCACAATCCCTTCCGCTCCTGTCACCCAACGGCATTATTCCCTTGTTTGATCCGTCCTCAATTCCCTTTATTTCGTCCCTTCAACCTCCTCTCACTCCCCTTCCCGCCCTACCTTCCCCCCTCACTCAACCATATTGGCAACAGAGCAATGTGAGCGGGAGCAGGCGAAGGTACTGGTGCACTGCATGTCGGGCCAGAGCAGGTGAAACCCCCCATGCCATGTGTGCCCTTAGCCATGTACACTTAGCCTTAGTTGTCACACCCATCAGGGTTTGCACTGCGAATGCAGCCTTAGTTGTCACACCCATCAGGGTTTGCACTGCGAATGCAGCCTTAGTTGTCACACCCATCAGGGTTTGCACTGCGAATGCAGCCTTAGTTGTCACACCCATCAGGGTTTGCACCGCATGTCAGGCCAGAGCAGGTGAAACCCCTTCGTTCCGAATGCCCTCGTTTACTTAGCCTTCATAATTAGATCCACCAGAGCCTGCTCTGAAAACCGCCCTGCCAATGGAGCACGTGAGGGAACGAATGCCAAGCTGTGTGAGACAAAGGAAGGATGATGCTCATGTAATGTTCACTTTATGCTCGCTTGATGCGGGCCAAGGCAGTAAAGCCGATGCATGCTGTGAAGAACGCACCCCTGCCTGCCAATCTGTTCCCAATCCTCCCCCTTCCCCCTCGTCTCCCCTCCCCTTCCCTTCCCTCCTCCTGCATCCTCCATCTCCTCCCCCCACGTATTCCTCCCACCCGCATCCACTAGTGGTGGGTACCTGATGCGGGCCAAGGGGGTTATGATGATACATGCTGTGAACAACACACCCTGTCAGTCTTTCTACCACCCCCTTTCCCCCTTTCGTTCCAATCTCCTCTTACTGCAGGTCGCCAGCCGTGGTGGTGGGTACCTGATGTGGGCCAAGGGGGGTTCAAATAATGCTTGTAAAAAAAAACCCTCAATCTCACTCCCCCTTGCTCCTCTTTTCCCCCATCCACTCTCACTCCCCCTTGCTCCTGCTGCAGGTCGCCAGCAGTGGTGGTGGGATACCTGATGCGCGCCAAGGGGGTTCAGATGATGCATGCTGTTAACAACACACCCTGTCACTCTTCACCCAACCCCTTCCTCCCAACCACTCTCTTTCCCCCTTGCTGCAGGTCGCCAGCAGTGGTGGTGGGATACCTGATGCGCGCCAAGGGGGTTCAGATGATGCATGCTGTTAACAACACACCCTGTCACTCCTCACCCAACCCCTTCCCCCCAACCACTCTCTTTCCCCCTTGCTACAGGTCGCCAGCAGTGGTGGTGGGATACCTGATGCGCGCCAAGGGGGTCAAACTGACCGAGGCAGTCGCATGGGTGACGGAGAGACGACCATCAGTCAACATACAGCCGGGTATGCCATTCTGATCCTTGTGCTGCATACGAGGGAATTTTACCGGATAGGCCCATACAGCTAGCCAGGTATGCATGTCTGGAGCATGTGAGGCGGTGTGGTGCAGGCAGGAAAGGAATGAACAGCAGCAAGCCCATGGTTCGCATGTGGCGGCATCCCATGAGGACCATGACTGGTGGTGTTGGCTCCCGTTGCTGCACTCTCGTTATGTGTCGTGCTGTCGCAATGCTCACCATGCGGGCTGTGATGTGTAGTGCAGCTTGCGAGTTTTCCTTTGGCTCATCATATGTGGTGAGCCACATGCTATTGCCCAACCCCTTCATGCTCCCACACCTCCCTCCCACCACCGTCTACTCCATCTCCCGCTCTTCCCTTCCACTTCCTCTCACTCCCTTTTCTTGCCCTGCCAGCCATGCTCTAAGCCAGCTGAAGGGCAAAAAAAAAAAAAAAAAAAAAAAAAAAAAAAAAAAAACCTTTCTCGTCTTGCCTTCCCGTACACTGCCTCCCCCTCCCGCATCTCGCCCTGCCAGCCATGCTCAGCCAGCTGCAGGCCTTTGAAGCCCGCCTCTTTGGAGGTGACGCCGCTCTGAATTCTTCCGACCAGCTCCAGCAGCAACAGCTGCAACAACAGCAGCAGCAGCAGATTCCGCAGGCAGGGGCGTCGTCAGGCCACATCACTCCCCTCTCTGCTCCCGGCCAGTTCCCCGCCAACACCACCCGCCTCCCCCTCCTCCTTCCCACCACTCCCCAACTTCCCATTCCCCATGCCGCCCTTTCCCCTAGGCCCTGATGCCAATCCTGCTGATGCTGATGCTGCTCCCCCGTTTGCAGGCATGCCCCCTCTAGCCCCTGTCCCCTTCCCGCCTATCCCTGGCATGCCAGCTGGCGGCATGCCATTCGCCTTCCCTGGTATGGGGGCTGGCGCAGGGGGAAATCCTCCCGAGGGGTTTGTGTTTGGGGCAGGGGGGGAGGCAAACAGAGGGGGTGCAGGGCAGGGGGGGAATGGGGGAGGGGTGCAGTGAGTGCAGCTGAGAGTACGTTTGACTGGTGGGGACTGACGTATGGTTAACGCCATCGTCAGTCCCCATGCTGCTATATCTACGAGCATGGGGTTGGGCTGAGCCTGATAGAAACTGCTCTTCCTACCAAGAAGAGTCAATCTGCATATTGCTAGTAGCATCGCCCCTGGTTGAGGAATGGTATGGCAGCAGTTGCCGTTTTTCTATGGGTGGGAGAGGCTCCAGGTATTAGGGTTCTGTTCCGGAACCTACAGTCTTACATTATCTACTGGTATGTTGGGCCTAGAAATATTCCAACCATGAATAAATTTCCTCATTGCAAATTAGGCGTTAATAACTGTTTTGTACAGTCGATCAACCATATTACTCTCCTCCAATGGCCGCGATTCAGCTGCAATTATTGGAGTGCTGCTTGACTCCTCTTCACCAACCACCTCCCTTTCTCACGCGGCTCGACTTCTCCCTCCACGCCCCCAGCCCAGGCCCCAGCCCATCCACACCCTCCGTTTGCGGCAATCTCGAAATTGGATTTCAATCCAAATCCGAACGCGTTCCCTGCTCTGATCCCCCACACCGCACACCACCCCGCCTCACCTGCTCGTCGTCTGGGGTGCGCAGGTACTCTCTCTACCATTAGGGGCGCTGCCAGTAGAAAGCAATTGAGCAGTGCAAGGTGGGGGCACATCTGCATCTTCTGTTTGCGCTGAACATCGGCATTCCCTAGCAAGCAATCACTCGGCACTTGGAGGTCAGGCGCGGCATGATTCAGCTTTGCAAGCACTTAGTCAACCCTCCCGTCCTTCACTTCCGCTGTCACAATAACTAGAGCTCGCCACGCACACCGCAACAAGCTCTTCCTTACAGCTTCGCACATCGCGTTTACCCTTCAAAATACCACGCGCTCATCAGCTTGAGTTAACCAGGCCGCCGTCATTCCCGCTCTCTGCCTCTCCCCCTTCTCATATTTGACCCATACCATCGAACCCCATGGCTGGTGTCAAGATCACCTCGCAAGCACCTCGACTAATGCACTTCGCCTCCTCCCTTCGTCGGCCTCTCACCGTAACCGTCTTTCTCGCTGCTCTTTTTCACGCAACGGCCACGGCTGTGTCCACGGCTGCGGCCACTACGGAGCCTGCAATTGCGGGAAACCTTCCGGGCGACACGGTCGCGCCGGTTGCCTCCAACAGGCGACTCCTCTCTGACGCGGCGCAGCTCGTTTCGTCCCAGTCAGGTCCCGTCACAGTCACAGCTTCCGTCGGATCTTCGTCGCATGCGACGGCTCGCATGCTGTATGCGAGGTTTCCCGAAATTCGGAACGACGATCGCGACCACGCGCATTACCTCGATCCGCAGAACCGCGCGCGCGCGGAAGTCGGCTCCCCCGCGATTGTGTGGGACGCGGAGCTGCAGGCGCAGGCGGAGCGACTGGCGGAGTACCTTGCGCAAAAGGAGGGATGCGCGGTGCGGCGGATGAAGGAAGTCAGCGGCGGGGTCAACTTGCGCTGGGCGGCGGAAAGCTGGGGGGTGCCCGCGGAAGCGGAATCGGCGGTGGCGGAGTGGGTGCGCGAAAAGGCGCACTACCGCCTGGAAGCGTTCCCCGCGGGGTGCGCGGAGGGTAGGGATTGCACGCACTACACGCAGGTGGTGTGGAAGAAGACGGAGCGCGTCGGGTGCGGAACGGCGATGTGCAACGAAGGGGGAGCCGTTTGGGCGTGCCGTTACTTCCCACCCGGCAATATCGAGGGGGACCGCCCGTACTAATTTTGAGAACCTCTTATTATGCCCTCCACAGAGAGCGAGAGCGTGAGTGAAGGCGGATCCCACTGCGTTTGGGAAGTTAGCTTGGAGGCGATAAATCGAAATCCACAGGTTCACTGAATTCGTGTTGCGCGGTGTAACCTGATTGTCACTGGCAGCGCAATAAGCGAGCACAGTGCAGTTTCATTCAGTTTCTACAGTTAAAGTTCTTTTATGCTGTGTATAACTCCCAAATTTCTTATTGGTTCATTTCAGAATTTCACTGGAAAGCCATAGTAAACACATTTATTGCCTCTAATGTAGGTTGGAAACACTTCCAGGTAGCATCCTTGCTAAAACCCTTACCTACGGTATATGTTGATTTCTACCCAGCCCGTTTGGTTGCCAAGATGGCAACCACGTCAAGTATGGCAATATTCATAATTAGCAGCCCAAGAGTATGGCGCCACTTCATTTGCACGTGGGACAGCTAGTGCTACCCCACTTGCGCATGAGACAGCTGGCACCACCTCAGCTGGGGCCACGTCACTTGCGCACGAGCAGTGGGCGCATCATGTCGTTGTCCTCGTGCTCGAGGATGTGGCAGTGCCACACATACCCCGGGCCCTGCGATGGGTCGAATGAAAACGGCTTGCCATCCTGGAGTGAGGGGAAGGAAGGGGTGTGGTGGGTGGGAGGGAGTACATTTTAGGCACCTCAGGAGAGGGCTCCAGGATGTGGCAGTGCCACGCGTACCCCAGGCCCTGTGACAGGTCACAGGGAAGGACTTGCTGTTTTGGAGTGAGGGGAAGGAAGGGGGAAAATGGGGGAAGTGATGGGGAGGGCAAGGGGGGAGGGGGTAACAGGGATAATAGGCAGGACAGGGAGGGGAGAAGGGGTGATGATGGTACCTGGCCTCTTGTGCATGCACACCTGTGAGCGGACGGCAACAAGGATGGAATAACACCTTGCCCGGGTGTGTGCATTGAGCTTTACTCTGTATGCATCTGCACCCTTGGCAGTACATACCTGTGAGCGCACGGCCACGAGGATAGATAGCACCTCCCCCGGGTGGGATTTAGTAGTGTCCTTCCACCCCTGTTCGTTCAGATCCACCCTCCTCGCCCGCCCTGTGAAGCACGAGGGCAGCTTGTCCTCCCCGCTGCTCCTCGTGCCGCCATCACTGCTGATAATGCCACTGCTGCCGCCGCTACTCGCGCCGCCACCGCCGCCGCCGCCGCCGCCGGTCATCATGCTGCTGCTGCTTGTCATGCTGCTGCTGGTGGTGCCAATGATGCTGCTCCTGGTGATGCTGCCACCAGGAGAGGAGGAAGCGGAGAGCGAGGAGGCGGAGGCGGAGGGGGAGGGGGAGGGGGAGGAGGGGTAGCCCGGGTAGGGGTAGAAGGCGCAGTCGTCTGAAAGGAAGGCCTCAGAGTTGAAGGGACGGCGAGCAAAGGGGCGGTGCTGCACAAGGTGCAGGTGGATGGGGTGTGAGTCGGCCGATGGGTTGATGATGTGCCATATCTCCACCGCTCCCTGCTTGCTCCCACATGAAGGATAGGGGGGGAAAGGAAGGCAAGTTAGGGGAACGGATATGAACGGGCGGTGCTGCACCAGGTGCAGGTGGATGGGGGGTGTGTCGGCTGAGGGGTTGAAGATGCGCCATGTCTCTACTGCCCCTGCTTGCTCGCACAGCACACAGAGGGCAGAGAGGGAAGGGTGAGGCTGTCGGGGTGAGGGTGTCGGGGTGAGGGTGTCGGGGTGAGGGTGTCGGGGTGAGGGCAGGGTGGTACGAAGGGGCGGTGCTGCAGCAGGTGGATGGTGTGTCAGCTGATGGGTTGATAATGTGCCATAACTCCACCGCGCCCTGCTTGCATGGGGGTGGGGGAGATGGGGGAACGGCCAGAAGCAAGCACAGTGATTGGAGCAACAGTGCATTAGCCCTGCAAAGAATATGACACTGTAAATAGCGCCTAGATTGAAATTGTGTGAGTGCGTTTTTTTAGACTTCTCAAAATTGACTCGAACATATGCGACACAGTAACTAGCCCGTGGCATCGTTGCAGCACTAGCACCAACACTCCTGCATCACTTTCGTTCAGGAAAATCTCGATAGCAGGCTGCAGTTACCCCGCCGGTTGAGCTTGAATGGCTCTATGCCAATCTATGGCTCTATGCCAATCTATGGCCCTATGATTCCCAAGCCCTGCATGATGCAGCACTCACATCCTGAGACGTCTCACAATCTCTCTTTAATCACGGAACTGCTTGAATGACTCTATGCCAATCTATGACCCTATTGTGTTCTAAGCCGTGCAAGATGTCTAGTTTTGAGGCGCCTCAAAACTAGCCCTGCAAGATGCATCACTCCCATTCTTGAGAATCTCAGTGGGAGGCTGAAATAACTTTTGAGTCGACTCAAATGTCAGCTCACATTCTTGAGAATCTCAGTGGGGGGGCTGAAATAACTTTTGAGTCGACTCAAAAGTCAGCTCGCGTTCTTGAGAATCTCATTGGGGGGCTGAATTAACTTTTGAGTCATCTCAAAAGTCAGCTCACAGTCTTGAGAATCTCAGTGGGGGGCTGAAATAACTTTTGAGTCGACTCAGAAGTCAGCTCACATTCTTGAGAATCTCAGTGGGGGGGCTGAAATAACTTTTGAGTCGACTCAAAAGTCAGCTCACATTCTTGAGAATCTCATTGTGGTGCTGAAATAACCCCTGGCAGTTGGGTTGAAATAACCCCCGGAAGTTGGGCTGAGATAACCCCCGGCAGTTGGGCTGAGATAACCCCCGGGAGTTGGGCTGGATGGTGGTGGGCATGTCACTGTCTAGGTCTAGGTCTACCCTCTCTCCCCTCTCACCACACCACCCCTGCAGCACTCACATTCTTCACAGTACAGTGGCAGGCTGAACATGCTCCCGCTCGTTGAGCTGACTGACGATGGGTGGGCATGTCAGTGTGCTGGCCGGGTCCACCCTCTCCCCTCTCCCCTCTCCCCTCTCCCCTCTCCCCTCTCCCCTCTCCCCTCTCCCCTCTCCCCTCTCCCTCTCCCCTCTCCCCTCTCACCCTCTCCCCTCTCCCCTCTCCCCTCTCCCCTCTCCCCTCTCCCCTCTCCCCTCTCCCCTCTCCCCTCTCCCCTCTCCCCTCTCCCCTCTCCCCTCTCCCTCTCCCTCTCCCTATCCCTCTCCCTCTCCCCTCTCCCCTCTCCCCTCTCCCCTCTCCCCTCTCCCCTCTCCCCTCTCCCCTCTCCCCTCTCCCCTCTCCCCTCTCCCCTCTCCCTCTCCCCTCTCCCCTCTCCCCTCTCCCCTCTCCCCTCTCCCTCTCCCTCTCCCCTCTCCCCTCTCCCCTCTCCCCTCTCCCCTCTCCCCTCTCCCCTCTCCCCTCTCCCCTCCCCTCTCCCCTCTCCCCTCTCCCCTCTCCCCTCTCCCCTCTCCCCTCTCCCCTCTCCCCTCTCCCCTCTCCCCTCTCCCCTCTCCCCTCTTCCCCTCTCCCCTCTCCCCTCTCCCCTCTTCCCCTCTCCCCTCTTCCCCTCTCCCCTCTTCCCCTCTCCCCTCTTCCCCTCTCCCCTCTTCCCTCTCCCCTCTTCCCCTCGTCCCCTCTTCCCCTCTCCCCTCTTCCCCCTCTCCCCTCTTCCCCTCTCCCCTCTTCCCCTCTCCCTCTTCCCCTCTTCCCCTCTCCCCTCTTCCCCTCTTCCCTCTCCCCTCTTCCCCTCTTCCCCTCTCCCCTCTTCCCCTCTCCCCTCTTCCCCTCTCCCCTCTTCCCCTCTCCCCTCTTCCCCTCTCCCCTCTTCCCCTCTCCCCTCTTCCCCTCTCCCCTCTTCCCCTCTCCCCTCTTCCCTCCCCTCTTCCCTCTCCCCTCTTCCCCTCTCCCCTCTTCCCCTCTCCCCTCTTCCCCTCTCCCTCTTCCCCTCTCCCCTCTTCCCCTCTCCCCTCTTCCCCTCTCCCCTCTTCCCCTCTCCCCTCTTCCCCTCTCCCCTCTTCCCCTCTCCCCTCTTCCCCTCTCCCCTCTTCCCCTCTCCCCTCTTCCCCTCTCCCCTCTTCCCCTCTCCCCCCTACACCCCTGCGGCACTCACGTTCTTGAGAATCTCAGTGGGGCGTTCCAAAAAGCCTCGGCCGTTGATTTGAATGACGGTGGGCATGTCACTCTCTGGATCCATCCTCTCCCCCAGCACGTGCCAGCGCGATCTGCTCACCTGCTTGAAAGGTATACGCGCCAGGGGCTGGGGGGAGCGGTGGAGAGGAGTAGAAGGGTGTAGAGGGAAGTAGAGGGGAGTAGGGTTGGTAAAGGTGAGTAGGGTGGAGGGGGAACGATGGTGGGGAAAAGGTATGCGTGCTAGGGGCTGGGGGGGGGAGAAGAACGGGAGAGCGGGGCATGGTGGAGCGCAGAGGGAGGGGGGGTGGGTAGGGTGGAGAGGGAGTGGTGGTTGGGGGGTTACACTGTCCACTTACCCCCTCTCCCCCAGCCCATGCCCACGCGTCCTAGAGACCTGGTTTAAGGGCAAGCGCGCCAGGGGCTGGGGGGAAGAGGAGGGATAGGCGGTTGGGTAGAAGGGAGTAGAGGGGAATCGTGGGGGGGAGAGGGGAGTAGGGGGCAGTAAGGGCAAAGGTGATGACAGTGGGCAGGGCATGTCGCTGCCTGGGTCAACCCTCTCCCCCACCACATATGCCAGCATGTTTTAGTCACCTGGTTCAAGGGCAAGCGCGCCAGGGGCTGGGGGGTGGGGGGTGGAGAGCAGTAGAAGGGTGTAGGGGGGAGTAGAGGGGATAAAGGGGGTCGAGGTGAGTAGGGTGGAGGGAGAACAATGGTGGTGGGCATGTCGCTACCTGGGTCAACCCTCTCCCCCAGCACGGGCCAGCGAGTCCTAAGGACCTGGTTCAAGGGCAAGCGCGCCAGGGGCTGGGGGGAAGGAAGGGGGGGGTGGGCGGTGGAGAGTAGAAGGGAGTAGAGGGGGTAGAGTGGAAAGGGCGTGACGGTGGGCATGTCACTGTCCGCGTCCACCCTCTCTCCCAGCACATGCCAGCGCACTTTAGTCACCTGGTTCAGTGGGGGGTCCTGCAAGGGGCTGTAAACGGGAGAGGGGAGGAGTAGAAGGGCGCACAGGGGAGTAAAGGGGAGTAAAGGGGAGTAAAGGGGAGTAAAGGTGAGTAGAGGGGAGTAGAGGACAAAGCCATTGTCCAGGAGCAGAAGGATTGACGTTGAGAAATCCGCACCCTCTTTCCTCTCCCAGCACGTGCCAGCGCGCCTTGTACACCTGGTTCAGTTTTGAGACGCCTCAAACTCTTGTACACCTGTTGAAGGGCAAGCATGCAAGGGAGGAGGGGAGGGAGAGGAGAGAGGAGTAGAGGTGGGGGGGAAGAGAATTGTGAAAGAAGAGGAAAGTGCGGGTGGGAGGGGGGTGATTGGAGGAGGCAGGAGGTGAGGAAGGATGAGGAGGAGGGGGGGGGAGAGGGGGAGAGCGAAAGAGGGGAAGAGGGACAGAGGCAGGACTTGAGGCGGCAATAACAAAAGCCTGCATGCACATGTACAGTACCACCCCTGTCACATGCTCCCTCTGCTCCAATGCACTGTCACATGCTCCCTCTGCTCCAATGCACTGTCACATGCTCCCTCTGCTCCAATGCACTGTCACATGCTCCCTCTGCTCCAATGCACTGTCACATGCTCCCTCTGCTCCAATGCACTGTCACATGCTCCCTCTGCTCCAGTGCACTGTCACATAGTCCGCGTGTATTTAACTGGAGGTTCTGCCCTCCCCTGTCCTCTTCATGCTCCTTCTGGTGCATGGACTCACGTGCTGCATGGACTCACGTGCTGCATGGACTCACGTGCTGCATGGACTCACGTGCTGCATGGACTCACGTGCTGCATGGACTCACGTGCTGCATGGACTCACGTGCTGCATGGACTCACGTGCTGCATGGACTCACGTGCTGCATGGACTCACGTGCTGCATGGACTCACGTGCTGCATGGACTCACGTGCTGCATGGACTCACGTGCTGCATGGACTCACGTGCTGCATGGACTCACGTGCTGCATGGACTCACGTGCTGCATGGACTCACGTGCTGCATGGACTCACGTGCTGCATGGACTCACGTGCTGCATGGACTCACGTGCTGCATGGACTCACGTGCTGCATGGACTCACGTGCTGCATGGACTCACGTGCTGCATGGACTCACGTGCTGCATGGACTCACGTGCTGCATGGACTCACGTGCTGCATGGACTCACGTGCTGCATGGACTCACGTGCTGCATGGACTCACGTGCTGCATGGACTCACGTGCTGCATGGACTCACGTGCTGCATGGACTCACGTGCTGCCAAATCTCCCCTTGCCTTCGACTTCCTGTTACTGCCCTCCCCTGCCCTCTTCATGCCCTCCCCTGCCCTCTTCATGCCCTCCCCTGCCCTCTTCATGCCCTCCCCTGCCCTCTTCATGCCCTCCCCTGCCCTCTTCATGCCCTCCCCTGCCCTCTTCATGCCCTCCCCTCCCCTCCTGCCGCACTGTCCTCCCCTCCCCTTCCCTACCCTCAAGGCACACCACCCACCGCGATCATCTTGGGGAGGGGCGGAGCAGGGACTGCCGTTCGCTTGGTGAGGATAAAGCGCATTATCAAAGCTGTGCCGTCACTCACACGCTCGCCTGAAAATGGCGAGGTGGGGGTGGAGGGAGTTGGAGTGGCAAACTTTGAAAAATCGGAAACTTGGTGGGGATGGATGAGTCGCGTGATTACTTTTGAGAATTCTCAAAAGTAAAATCCACATGGATGGATGAATCGCTTGAACACGGGCGCTTGGTACAGTAGTGCCATCACTCACTCGCACGGTAGCAGGCCAAGTAAGCTTAGAGTAAGAGTGAGGTACCCCCCAACCTTTGAGGCGCCTCAAAACTTGGTGAGGATGGATGAATCGCTTGATCACGGACGCTTGGTACGGTCGTGCCATCACTCACTCGCACGGTAGCAGGCGAAGTAGGCTTAGAGTAAGAGTGAGGTACCCCCCAACCCAGCTCACTGGGTACCTCGCTCGTCCGTTGTGGGGTGCTGCTTGTGTTAGACTGTACGCACCAGCTGGATAACGTCAGAGGGCTGCTGCTGCTGGTGTCTGAATCCACTCACTAGCAGGGTGGGGTGCGCGGGCATCGTTGGTCAGCAGCACGTCACGGCACCAGGAGGGGGCTTCGTTGAAATCCACGGACCGCTGCTTATGTCAAGTAAGCCTAGAGTGGACTGCTGCTTATGTCAAGTAAGCCTAGAGTGGACTGCTGCTTATGTCAAGTAAGCCTAGAGTGGACTGCTGCTTATGTCAAGTAAGCCTAGAGTGGACTGCTGCTTATGTCAAGTAAGCCTAGAGTGGACTGCTGTTTATGTCAAGTAAGCCTAGAGTGGACTGCTGCTTATGTCAAGTAAGCCTAGAGTGGACTGCGGCTTATGTCAAGTAAGCCTAGAGTGGACTGCTGCTTATGTCAAGTAAGCCTAGAGTGGACTGCTGCTTATGTCAAGTAAGCCTAGAATGGACTGCTGCTTATGTCAAGTAAGCCTAGAGTGGACTGCTGCTTATGTCAAGTAAGCCTAGAGTGGACTGCTGCTTATGTCAAGTAAGCCTAGAGTGGACTGCTGCTTATGTCAAGTAAGCCTAGAGTGGACTGCTGCTTATGTCAAGCAAGCCTAGAGTGGACTGCTGCTTATGTCAAGTAAGCCTAGAGTGGACTGCTGCTTATGTCAAGTAAGCCTAGAGTGGACTGCTGCTTATGTCAAGTAAGCCTAGAGTGGACTGCTGCTTATGTCAAGCAAGCCTAGAGTGGACTGCTGCTTATGTCAAGCAAGCCTAGAGTGGACTGCTGCTTATGTCAAGTAAGCCTAGAGTGGACTGCTGCTTATGTCAAGTAAGCCTAGAGTGGACTGCTGCTTATGTCAAGTAAGCCTAGAGTGGACTGCTGCTTATGTCAAGCAAGCCTAGAGTGGACTGCTGCTTATGTCAAGTAAGCCTAGAGTGGACTGCTGCTTATGTCAAGCAAGCCTAGATTGGACTGCTGCTTATGTCAAGTAAGCCTAGAGTGGACTGCTGCTTATGTCAAGTAAGCCTAGAGTGGACTGCTGCTTATGTCAAGCAAGCCTAGATTGGACTGCTGCTTATGTCAAGTAAGCCTAGAGTGGACTGCTGCTTATGTCAAGTAAGCCTAGAGTGGACTGCTGCTTATGTCAAGCAAGCCTAGAGTGGACTGCTGCTTATGTCAAGCAAGCCTAGAGTGGACTGCTGCTTATGTCAAGTAAGCCTAGAGTGGACTGCTGCTTATGTCAAGTAAGCCTAGAGTGGACTGCTGCTTATGTCAAGTAAGCCTAGAGTGGACTGCTGCTTATGTCAAGCAAGCCTAGAGTGGACTGCTGCTTATGTCAAGTAAGCCTAGAGTGGACTGCTGCTTATGTCAAGTAAGCCTAGAGTGGACTGCTGCTTATGTCAAGTAAGCCTAGAGTGGACTGCTGCTTATGTCAAGTAAGCCTAGAGTGGACTGCTGCTTATGTCAAGTAAGCCTAGAGTGGACTGCTGCTTATGTCAAGCAAGCCTAGATTGGACTGCTGCTTATGTCAAGTAAGCCTAGAGTGGACTGCTGCTTATGTCAAGTAAGCCTAGAGTGGACTGCTGCTTATGTCAAGCAAGCCTAGAGTGGACTGCTGCTTATGTCAAGCAAGCCTAGAGTGGACTGCTGCTTATGTCAAGTAAGCCTAGAGTGGACTGCTGCTTATGTCAAGTAAGCCTAGAGTGGACTGCTGCTTATGTCAAGTAAGCCTAGAGTGGACTGCTGCTTATGTCAAGCAAGCCTAGAGTGGACTGCTGCTTATGTCAAGTAAGCCTAGAGTGGACTGCTGCTTATGTCAAGTAAGCCTAGAGTGGACTGCTGCTTATGTCAAGTAAGCCTAGAGTGGACTGCTGCTTATGTCAAGTAAGCCTAGAGTGGACTGCTGCTTATGTCAAGTAAGCCTAGAGTGGACTGCTGCTTATGTCAAGTAAGCCTAGAGTGGACTGCTGCTTATGTCAAGTAAGCCTAGAGTGGACTGCTGCTGCTGGTGTTTGAGAGCGCTCACCAGCAGGGTAGGGCGCACGGGCATCATTCGTGAGCAGCACGTCACGGCACCAGGAGGGGGCCTCGTTGAAATCCACTAGCATGTCTAGTCGCTCCCCCGGTGCCACCAGCACGCTGCGCATGCGCAAGGGACGAGCGAGGTACCCGCCGTCACTGCCAATCTGCACACACAAGGGGGCAGGAGGCAGGAGGCAGGGGGAAGGGGGAGGGGAGGGGAGGGGAGGGGAGGGGAGGGGAGGGGAGGGGAGGGGAGGGGAGGGGAGGGGAGGGGAGGGCGCCTTGTTGAAATCCACCAGCACGTCGAGCCATTCCCCGGGTGCTACCAGCGCCACCTGGTCTACAAGCAAGCACCTTTTTACACTTCTATTTCTACCTAAACAACATAGTTGCTGCCATGTAAAGTCATGGCACCTAACTGGTGCCCACTTCGCACGTCGAGCCGCTCCCCGGGTGCTACCAGCGCCACCTGCACTTCCGACATGCGGAGAGAACGAGCGAGGTACCCGCCGTCACTGCCGACATGCGGAGAGAACGAGCGAGGTACCCGCCGTCACTGCCGACATGCGGAGAGAACGAGCGAGGTACCCGCCGTCACTGCCGATCCTGCAGGCGTGGGGGAAGTCAAGGGGTGGGTGAGACGTGGAGACAGGGAGGAGAGAGGCGAGGGGAAGGCACGTTCCCCCGGCGCCACCAGCACTCCCAGCATGCGCAAGGGGCGAGAGAAGTAACAGCCGTCACTGCCAATCTGCAACCCCTGCCAGCATGAAAGAAGTGAACTCTTGAGACGTCTCAGAACTTTACTTGTATCACATGGCTGCTGACCTTGTATCACATGGCTGCTGACCTTGCATCACATGGCTGCTGACCTTGCATCACATGGCTGCTGACCTTGTATCACATGGCTGCTGACCTTGCATCACATGGCTGCTGACCTTGTATCACATGGCTGCTGACCTTGCATCACATGGCTGCTGACCTTGTATCACATGGCTGCTGACCTTGCATCACATGGCTGCTGACCTTGTATCACATGGCTGCTGACCTTGTATCACATGGCTGCTGACCTTGTATCACATGGCTGCTGACCTTGTATCACATGGCTGCTGACCTTGTATCACATGGCTGCTGACCTTGTATCACATGGCTGCTGACCTTGTATCACATGGCTGCTGACCTTGCATCACATGGCTGCTGACCTTGTATCACATGGCTGCTGACCTTGTATCACATGGCTGCTGACCTGCATCACATGGCTGCTGACCTTGTATCACATGGCTGCTGACCTTGTATCACATGGCTGCTGACCTTGTATCACATGGCTGCTCAACCCCTGCCTGCGTCAAGGGGATGATGGGCCAGCAGCACCTCCTGCCAACACAGCACAGCACAGCACCGCACAGCACCGCACAGCACAGCACAGCACAGCACAGCACAGCACAGCACAGCACAGCACAGCACAGCACAGCACAGCACAGCACAGCTCAGCACAGCACAGCACAGCACAGCACAGCACAGCACAGCACAGCACAGCACAGCACAGCACAGCACAGCACAGCACAGCACAGCACAGCACAGCACAGCACCGCACCGCACCGCACAGCACAGCACAGCACAGCACAGCACAGCACAGCACAGCACCGCACCGCACAGCACAGCACAGCACAGCACAGCACAGCACAGCACAGCACAGCACAGCACCGCACCGCACCGCACCGCACCGCACAGCACAGCACAGCACAGCACAGCACAGCACAGCACAGCACAGCACAGCACAGCACAGCACAGAACAGCACAGCACAGCACAGCACAGCACAGCACCGCACCGCACAGCACAGCACAGCACAGCACAGCACAGCACAGCACCACACCGCACCGCACCGCACCGCACAGCACAGCACCGCACCGCACCGCACCGCACAGCACAGCACAGCACAGCACCGCACCGCACCGCACCGCACCGCACAGCACAGCACAGCACAGCACAGCACCGCACCGCACCGCACAGCACAGCACAGCACAGCACAGCACAGCACAGCACCGCACCGCACAGCACAGCACAGCACAGCACAGCACAGCACAGCACAGCACAGCACCGCACCGCACAGCACAGCACAGCACAGCACAGCACAGCACAGCACCGCACAGCACAGCACAGCACAGCACAGCACAGCACCGCACAGCACAGCACCGCACAGCACAGCACAGCACAGCACAGCACAGCACAGCACAGCACAGCACCGCACAGCACAGCACCGCACAGCACAGCACAGCACCGCACAGCGCAGCACCGCACAGCACCGCACAGTACCGCACAGCACCGACCTGGGTCATGGGAATGATGGGTCCCCTGAAGGGCGGCTTGAAGTCAGGGTAATCCCCCCTCACGGCATACTGGAAGCGCAGATGGTAGACACGCACATTGAACGCCCCCAGGATCAACAGGCAAGCAAGCAGCACAGCTCTGCACCGTACCGCACTGCACCCCACCCACCTGAGTCATGGGGATAATGGGTCCCCTGAACGGAGGCTTAAAGTCGTGGTAATCACCCCTCACGGCGCACTGAAAGCGCAGGTGGTAGAAGCGTGCGTTTGATGCCCCCAGGATCGGCAGCCGATACAGCGCCCTCCGCACCCGGAAGAACGGCCAGACCTGGAGGAGAGGTGTGGGAAAAAAGGGGATGGGGAGAACCAGGTTGAGGGGTGTGTGTAAGGTGACACAAAGCAAGGGCGGGCACACAGCTGATACAAAACTGTTCAAACCTTAACAATTCTCGAAAGTAAATCCATACATCCCCCCTGCTACTCGGCCCCCCCCCCTCCTCCTCACTTCATACACCTCACATCGTACCTTCCCATTGACCCGTGATCGTATTTCCGAAAAAACTCCGGCTGCCAGTGAGGCTGCCAGTGAGGCTGCTTTATAAACTGACTCCAGAACCACTTCACAACTCTCGCATCACACATCGCACATCGCACATCACACATCACACATCGCACATCGCACATCACACATCAGACATCAGACATCACACATCAGACAAGACACATTACACATCATAAACTATACATCTCACATCATACATACCTTCCCATTGACCGTAATTGTATCTCCAAAGAACTCCGGCTGCCAGTGTGGGTGCTCCTTCGGAACAACCCCGTCCGTCGGATAGTTCACCGACCCGTTTGGAAAGAACATCCGATCCGCAATTGCCAATGGCATGAAGAACGGCCCGCCCGGCAGCGGCGCCCACTTGTTGATCTCCCTCTCCTCCCCTTTCGGATCCACTATAACGTACAAGCCCGCCATCCCCGCCATGACGTTTATCCTCGTTATAGCAATGGCGTGGTCATGGTACCAGACAATAGAGGGTCGCTGGTTGTTGTGGTAGTGGTACAGCCGTGTGGAGAACTTAGGTCCTTTCTCCCCGAATTGGGTGAACCAGGCTTGTGGGTGTCCATCGTATATGCTGTGCGTCTCACCCCCATGCCTATGTGGGACTGAAATGAAACAAGGGAGGCAGGGGTGGGAAAAAGGGACGATTGTGCAAGGCTGGCGTCGCTGCTTGTTGTGGTAGTGGTAGAGCTGGGTTTGAGGCGCCTCAAAAGTACCACATGATAGAGGGTCGCTGGTTGTTGTGGTAGTGGTACAGTTGTGTGGAGAACTTAGGTCCTTTCTCGCCAAACTGTGGGTGCCCATCGTATATGCTGTGCGTCTCACCCCCATGCCTATGTGGGACTGAAATGAAGGAGGGAGGGGAGGGGGAAAGGGAGGAGTGTACAAGGGTGCCCTTTCAAACCCCACCAACTGAGTGGACCAGGCCTGTGGGTTTCCGTCAAGAAAGCTGTGAGTCTCACCCCCTTGCCGATGGGGGACTGAAACAAGGGATGCAGAGGGGAAGGGAAATGGGGGGGAAGAAGGGAAGATGAGAATACGAGCTTGGTTTTTCAAATTTCCCTTTACTTCGAGAACCTTCAGCATGGCATGGCAAGGCATGGAATGGCATTGTGTGTCCATCCCATGGCATGGCACGGGATGGCACGGCATGACATGGCATGGCATGACATGGCACGGCATGGCATGGCACGGCATGGCATGGCACGGCATGGCATGGCATGGCATGGCATGGCATGGCACGGCATGGCATGGTAGTGAGTATGTACCGATGGGCACGCCCCCCTTCTTGGGCATGGGGATCATAAGTGTGTCGTCCAGCTGCATGCTGTGAGGGGTGCATGGCATGGCATGGGATGGCATGGCATGGGATGGTGTGGCATAACATGACAGGCATGGCACGGCATGGCATGGCATGGCATGGCATGGCATAGCACAGCATGGCATGGCATGGCATGGCACGCCACGATAGTGAGAGTATGTACCACGCCCCCCTTCTTGGGCATGGGGATCATAAGCGTGTCATCCAGCTGCATGCTGTGAGGGGTGTATGGCATGGCATGGCATGGCATGGGATGGGATGGCGTGGCATGGCATGGCATAGCATGGCATGGGATGGGAAGGCATGGCATGGGATGGCATGGCATGGGATGGCATGGCATGGCATGGGATGGCATGGCATGGCATGGCATGGCATGGCATGGCATGGGATGGCATGGCAAGGCATGGTATGGTATGGCATGGCATGGTAGAAAGAGAACATACCGATGGGCACGCCGCCGTGCTTGGGCATGGGGATGATGAGTGTGTCGTCCAGCTGAATGCTGTGAGGGATGCTTGGCATGGCATTGTGTCCCAAGGCACGGCATGGCATGACAGAAAGAGCATGCACATACCGATGGGCACGCCGCCGTGCTTGGGCATGGGGATCATGAGTGTGTCGTCCAGCTGAATCATGTGCTTCCTGTCCGTGATGCGGTTCGACCAAAAGATCTGACCCAGGGGGTACGTGAGGGAGGGGGGAGGGTAGGGTTGGGGGGGACGAAGGGAGAAGGGAAAGGGTGGATCTGGATCAGAAGTGTGTTGTTCAGCTGAATCATGTGCTTCCTGTCCGTGATGCGGTTCGACCAAAAGTCCTGGCCAGATAGTGTGGAAGAGGTAAAGAGAGAAGGGAGGGGTTGTGGAGAAATTGGAGGAGGGGGGAGGAGGTAAGGTGGAGATGGAGGGGGAAGGTGGGAGAAAGGGAGTGTGACAACGGGGATCAAAGGGGACGTATGAGTAGTATGCAAGAGAGGTTGCAGACAGAGGGAATGTATGTATGGGTGGTACTCTAATTCAGGCGACATGGAGCACGGTCGGTCACATTGCTAAATCCGTTTGCACCGAACCTCACCGCACACAGCTATACAGCGAGGGAAAAATGGTACTGAGGGCGCTCCTGGGTGTCTTTGTTTTGAGTCGACTCAAAACTAGAGTCGAATCAAACTAGGCTCAAACTGGGTCGACTCAAAACCACACACAGCTATACAGCGAGGGGAAAATGGTGCTCAGGGAAGCTCCCGGGTGTCTTTGCCCTTGTGCGCCAGGATGATGGGGCCACGTGAAAAAACCAGAATAAGGGACGACAACCCAGTGGACAAGAGCTCGTTCAGGCCCCCACCTGGGTGTCTTTGCCCTTGTGCGCCAGGATGATGGGGCCGGGGAATGCGGCGGAGCACGTGTTGACCTTTGGACAGACTCACAAGTAACCTCAGCACAGCACAGCACAGCACAGCACAGCACAGCACAGCACAGCAAAGTCAGGCTTCAGCCCCCTACCTGGGTGTCTTTGCCCTTGTGCGCCAGGATGGTGGGGCCGGGGAACGCGGCGGTGCGCTGGTTGAGCCCGTACGCGTACTGCTTTGTGGGCGGCAGGTCCCGATGGAACTTCTGTCAGGGGGGGGGAAAGGGACGGGGGATGGGGGATGGGGACGGAGGGAGGGAGTTAGGGAAGTGTGGTGCGTTGGTTGGTTCAGCCCGTACCCGTACTGCTTGGTGGGCATCAGGTCCCGATGGAGCTTCTGTTAGGTCGGGAAGGGGGAATGGGGAAGGGAATGGGTTGTGGGGGACGCGGCGGTGCGCTGGTTGAGCCCGTACGCGTACTGCTTGGTGGGCGGCAGGTCCTGGTGGAACTTCTGTGAAGGGGTGGGAAGGGGAGGGGGAAGGGGAAAGGGGGAGTTGGAGAAGTATGGTTGAAAGGGGTCCCCGCTGGGGCGGAGGCGGTATGGAGGAAGAGGGGGAGAAAGGGGAAGGTGCGGGGGAGGCGGAGTGGGGTTGGGAGGAGGGGAGGGTAGGGGTTTTAGGGGGGTTTCGGGGATTGAGAAAAATAATCATGATGAAATCAGTCACGTTGTGCGTTGACCGTGACATAACTTCTGCGAGTGGTAAAGGAGGGAGGAGAGAATGAAGGAAGGAGCATTAGCATGTGGTGTTTAATATTAGCATTGACAAGTCTCCGTTCCATGTTATATTAGAATAGCTCTGTGTAAAGAAACTTCATGAAACGAATCAGTATTGTTCCTTGCGCGCGGCTATACAGTTGAACTTGACATTTGATCGCAGCTGTCCAATACAACGATTGGATTCTCATCCGTAGATTCCGTTGCAACACTTTTACGAGCCTTCACATCGGGAAATCGGCTCCATCTCATCTCGTGCTGCAGGCAGGACGTGTACGGGTGAGGCTTTGTTTTGGTCAACCCAGAATATTGGTCGTCGAACCTCTAGGGTTAAGGCGACATCGTTCTTCGCTTCGACTTCCTCAGCAGCAACGGCAGAGCGCAAATTGCTCAGTGCCGAGGCCGGAGGTCGTCTACAATCCACCCCACGTTGGGCGTGTTTAATCCGGGTCGCCTCTCCTGCGGCAGTCGTAGATGTTGCATAGGCGTCGCTAGAGCTGGAAGGCTATCGTCGTATGAAGTCAATTTGGAAATTACCGCGTAGATCTGAAAGTCCGAATCGCGCATGGCACATCCCAAAGACCGAGTGCCGCCTGGCAGGTCTGAAAGACCGAATCGCGGAAAATATGGATAACGAGTCGCGCTTGTAAAAATCCGAAAGACCGAGTGGCAACTGCTAGATCTGAAGGACCGAGTCGCGGTAGAAGGTCCGAACGATTGTGTCGCGTTTGGTAGATCTGGAAAAGCGAGTCGCGCCTGGTAGATTGAATCATTACCCAGGGTGCCAACGAGTCGCACCTGGTAAATCTGGAAAACGCCGATGCGAACGAGCTTCCCGTCGCTCGTGTCGACGGCGACTCGCATGGTGGTCGCCAGGTCGTCGACGAACTTGCATAGTGCGCGCGCGGGGAAGGCGTTGCGGCACTTAGGGCCCGCCGCTGGCGTCCCCAACGCTCCCGCGTTCCTGCCAGCAACATCCACGGCTGCGGGGGCATACGTGCGCCATGAAGAGGGTTGAGGCGAGCGGCGGGGATGGGTTGGTCACCAGCACAGTGCGCGCAGTGCGCGCGGAAGGGATTGAGAAGGGGGGATGGGGGAGGGGTAAGGAGGGAACAATATGTGCGCTAATCAGGAAGAACCGCCACAGCTGGTGCGGACGGCGGACGGCGTCCATATCGCTCCCGCGCTCCTGCCTGCAGCAGCTGGTCAGCGGGACAGCGGGTAGTATATGGGGACGACTCCGACTGGAAGGGAGGGAAAAAGGGGGAGGGGTATATGGGGAGCAGTGTTACAGGGACACGGATCGCTATGCAGGGTCCAGCTGATGGAACATTCTCATTGCGGAATTTATACGCCCCATGAGGTAGAGGTTTACCAGAGACATGGACGACCGCGCGCGGGGCGAAGGCGGCGACGAGAAGCAACCCCACACAGAGACGCACGGCCATCGCCATGCTTCGAGTCATTGGGCGCTTCAAAGCGCAAGTTTCGGCGAGCGCTTGCGAAATGAGCGCGCCGCGTGTGGCGGCGGGGCGTCGGGCTCCCCTAGCGACTCGCTGGAAAGGGGAATGTTCCTACAGCCTCCAGGAATCTCTGCGGCGGTAGTACAACGCGTCCACCGGAGGATGCGACAATGCAGTGAGCCGTAGCGAGCCGCGACGCGCGCAATCTGCGGAATGGATTCAGGCGAGCACCCGACGATTACGCCGACGCGAATGATTCCGGATACGGTCGACCTTCAAGGTTGATAGTAGTTGGGGGTAAGACCGTCTGACGACGAAGTATGACGGCTTCGCTAGAAGAAGAGTGACGGGGATGAACAATAACCCAGCAAACCCTACGAGGTCTAGAGAAGCATGCTGTGCGCGCTAGGATCTGTGGAGCGAGCTAGGTGTCTAGGGAGGAGAGGCGCCAAGGGCAGTGCTCTGCCAAATAGCTCACGTGGAAGCACAGGATGGAAACAAGGTTTCGAGTGACTCGTCGTGTTCAGGGGCGCTGAGGCAACAGATTTCGCACGAAATGGGCTAGCGCGATTTGGCCGAAGGGCGGCCGTGACGAGGCAGAACGATCACTTGGCTGTCGTGTCGTCGAGTTGAGAGACTCGACATTCCAAAACGATTGGTCAACATTTCTTTGCGGCGTCGTGTCGAAGCCAGGATGGAGCTGTGCGGGCGGCTGAGATTGAGAGAAAACTGCACCGTAGAGAACATCCGACAAAAACTCCATGGTGACAGGGTTGGTGGAGAGAGGGAATTGGGACATCAGATGTCGGAGACGTTTTTACCGCTAAATTGGACCGTCTTGCCCGTGAGCTTGGTTTGAGATCTGCACCCCTTTTACATAAGTGAGTTTGGATCCCAGACTAAACTCTAGTTTTGACTTCCAGATTCTCAATCTTAGTCAGGAAACCGCATACACCGCCACGATGCTGGCCGTGAGGTATTTGAAGATAGAAATTGATACGTACTTGGAAGACGTGGAAAGGCGAATCGGTTGCTGTCAGAGTTTCACGCGCTGAAAGCATAGCTGGGGGAATGCACCAACAGGGGCTGCGTTTGAGAGTTTGGTAGGGGTGGACCGGGCTGTCGATTCACAGATATGTGTCCGTTACCCTGAGAACTCGGGGCTAGTAGCTTCTCAGCTCATATATTTTCAGGATTCTCAACGGACAGTTTTGGAAACTTGCCTAAATTCTGCGCGCATTCTCCTCCCTCCCCCCCCCCCTCCCCCCTTCTTCTTGACCTTGGACTCTTAACGACGACCCAAACCCCCACCCCCCACCCCCCCCCCTCCAAAAAAAAAAACATACCTCCGTCTCCCCAGCGTGCTCTGCTCTTTTTGAGTAGATATCTAGATAATTTAGGTTTTTTAGGCATGTGTTCAGGACAGGAATCAAAATGATATGAAATTAAGGGCCGGTTCGGGATACTCCCCGGATATTTCATGGCCTGTTTCGGGGCACCTTAGCCTCGTAAGGGCTGGGCCCGGACCAATCGACAGCCCTGGATGGAACATGCTCTATGTGGTACGAGAAGGTGAACGACACACTGGGGCTGAATTTGCTTCGCAAAATTTGGAATTTCTCCAAAAGGGTCGTCATGTCGTGTCGTGTCTTGTAGTCGTGTCGTCGCCACTCTAATCCTTCAAGACCAAACGCGAACCGCGAAGTGCGTGTGTGAGCCGCGCAAGCTACCCAATCACGCAAGCTGAAGCGACTGGGTGGTTGAAGGCGTGTGAGCGACATGAATTCTGTCGCCTGGAAGGAATGTGCTTCGCATTCTGCCACGTGTAAAACACCCGACTATTTAACGATTAATCTGCATCCAGCTCGTCTCTATGGCGAAGAAACTCCAGTTGCAACATGTTGAAGGCGAGCGGCTGGCGCCGCCAGCGGCGCGAGGTAGGGGCGCTCAGCCGCTTCTAGGTAGGGGCGCTCAGCAGCTTCTTCTGTACAGTTCTGTACAGTAGGGCAGGAATGAGCAGCAGTGGGCATTTGTGTTTTGTTTCACCTGCCCTCCTCACAAACATTTATGTAGCACTGTACAGTACACCCAACAGATATTGCAGAACAGCGTCATCCTGATTCCAGACCTGACTCCTGCAGCATTCAATGGCAACCGAAATGCGGCCCACGTGTGCCATCGTCGGCACCGCCACGCCACAGTGCCTCGCAACTGACTTCAAGGTTTGGATTTGTGTTGATCAAAACACGGAAATGCATTGTTGTAATGAAAATTCCTTTTCCTTACTTCGCGTCCCCGCTCAGCGCGTACACCACTGTAGCACCACAGTCAGCACTGTTACCACTCGCAACCCTCGCATCGACAATCCTCCCGCCACCTTCGCACGTCGCACCCCGACCTCACGGCTCGGCGGGTAACCCGCGCTCCGGGCCTCCGCTTCGACATTTCCCCAAACCTCAGTCCCAGGCCCGACGCGCGACAACGACAGTCCATTACCATTACCACTGTAGTTTCGCTATATATTCTTCGCGCATGCCTTCGCTCATTGGATAGTGCAATTCTAGCTCGATCACTCAATTGCACTCGTAACAATTGTGAAAGCATGAATTACTGAATTTTACTTGCTTATGCACCAAACATCCCTCATGAGTGCAACTAAATCTTGTCTTGGGTATATGCCTCCGTCAGGAATTTGACATCTCTTTACGTCGCACCTGTTTTACAGCGAACGACGAGCAAGTGATTATGGCTTGCATCCTCCTACACAATATCCAGAACCCCCTCCAATAAATCAGCTACTGCAAGTACGGAACAGTTTCAATTAAATACTCTATTGACTGACACATGTTTGGTGTTCTGTTCTGAATCGGCATTGAGAAATGGAGTTGCACTAGTCACAGGTAAGTAGAGAAAAAGGTATATGAATTCAGGGGTACCGGTAAAAACACAGTTGCTTCAAGTTGTTGGTACCACCACCACCCAACACTGAAATTTTGCCAGCAGCGTGCACAACCAAGTCACGGTCTGAGACAGAATGGGAGACTGGGTGTTGTTGCTGGCCCTATAAGTCTGTTCTGCACTGCACTGCTCTGCACCGCTTGCTACTCCACAGGTGTTGCCAATACAGATGCTATGGTTTCGCCAAAGCCGACGCCAGCCGAGCCAGACCCAAGCTCCCCGAGCCTCCCGCTGGGGCTCGGCGGCGGTAGAGCCGAAGCACAACAGCGCTGGCAACCAGGGGGCAGGCGACAGCAAGGGCGAGATAGGCCAGGTGCCATCTGGGGGAGGTTACACCTGCCCAACCGGGGGAGGCTGCAGCTGCAAAGTGGTCGGTGGAGGGTGCGTGAGAGGGGGAGGTGGGAGGGTGGTGGGGCAAGTGCAGGTGGTGGTGTGGGGGGTGGCTTGGATGCTCTTGGTTGGGGTTGTGCTGGTGATTGGCCATTGCTGGATCGGCGTCCTTAGACTGTGTGGAATGGGGGGAAGAGCCAGAACGAAATGATAAAAAACCCGGGCGGATTCAATGATAGGATACACGTAATAGCTGTGCGATGCATTGTGACGGATGGGCAACGGGAGATGCACTCACGTGAACGAGAGGGCCCCAAGAGGCATGCTGCAAGAAATGGAGATGAATCCGAAATGGGATGAGGAAGTGAAGAAGGGATGGAAAGAGCTAGCAAGCTACGGCCGTTGATCACCCACCTTGTGCTGTCGCATGGGTGCTGTTGATCACCCACCTTGTGCTGTCGCATGGGTGCCGTTGATCACCCACCTTGTGCTGTTGCATGGGTGCCGTTGATCACCCACCTTGTGCTGTCGCATGGGTGCCGTTGATCACCCACCTTGTGCTGTCGCATGGGTGCCATGGATCGGCGAGAGGAGAGGGGCGATTGAAGAGCTGCAAGGGATGTTGGGGAATGGAACGGGAAGGAGATGAAGAGGTGGAGCGTGTTTGAGCATATTACGAGGTGCCTGTCTATCTCAGAAGATTTTTTTTTTAAGACATCCCAGAACTAGACTAGAGGGGATGAAGAGGTGAACAATTTGAGGAGTGTATGCTTGGGGTGCCTGTGTAGTTCAGAAGAATGTTGTGAGGAGTGGGATGAAGAGGAAATGGTTAAGAGGCGAATGTTAGAGGGCATGTTGAGAGGAGCATGCTAAGGGGTGATTTTTCTTAGGTGGTGTCCATGTGTTCTGGGATGGTGTCCATGTGTTCTGGGATGGTGTCCATGTGTTCTGGGATGGTGTCCATGTGTTCTGGGATGGTGTCCATGTGTTCTGGGATGGTGTCCATGTGTTCTGGGATGGTGTCCATGTGTTCTGGGATGGTGTCCATGTGTTCTGGGATGGTGTCCATGTGTTCTGGGATGGTGTCCATGTGTTCTGGGATGGTGTTGTGTTCGGCTGACTGGAATCAACACAAGGGAGAGCGGATCTAGCTTTGCTTCGGAATATGCAAAAGCAGGTCAGAGGCAGAAGCCATAATGGATAGGAGAAGGAACAATGAGTGAGCAAGGGAACGGAAGGGGCGTGGGAAGAGGGAGAGAGAAAGAGGTGAAGGAGGGCGAAAGGATGAAGGGCAGCTCACCTGGTGGTGATGATTCGATGCACCGCTGAATCTGCCACACACCATGAGAACAGCCGTGGGAGGTGGGTGATGAGAGGAAGTGAGTGAGACAAGGCGGAGAGATTGGGTGCAGGAGATGCAAAAAGTATGAAGGTTTGAAATTAGACAGGATTCAACGAAACATGAAACCACCATGTCACACTCCCCTCCCACCATACCTTGCTCATCCCAACCACCCCTTCCCCCATCCCGCCATACCTTGCTCATAAGCTCGTGGACCACCACTGCTGACCATACCCATGTCCACCATACCCATACCCGTGTCCACCATACCCATACCCATGAACCTTGCCCATCTCGCTCACCCCTCCAACACCACCCATACCTTGCTCAGTCACACACACATCCTTCAACCATCCCACCATACCTTGCTCATGAGTTCGCGCACCACCACAGCAGCCACTCTCAGCTGCTCCTCACTCTCAAACCGCAACTGCACCACCGCTGCCCCCGCCCCTCCTCCTCTTCCTGCTCCCCCTGCTTCCCCCGCTGCTCCCGCCACTCCCCCCACTCCTCGCTTCTCCACTCCTCTCCCACCGAAATCCTCTACATTGCCGATAGTAGACCCGGTTTTCCCTGTCCCAGATACGACCTCCCCCAGGTCGTCCTCCCCACACATGGCGCCTGCAGGCCCCATCTCCCACTCGTCCTCGCCGCCCCCCTCTCCCACTGCGCTCCCCACCTCCCCCTCCTTCTCCTCATCCTCGTCAATAACAGACTCTCTACCGTCTATAGTCCCTGCCAGCACTGACATGCTTACAGTGCTCATCCCCTCCTCCTCATCCTCCTCCTCCTCTTCCTCCCTTTCTCCCTCCCCCTCTCCCACCTCTCCCCTCCCCCTTTCGTCTTTCCCCACTAGCCCACCACCAGACGATCCCACCCACTGAACCTTCCCCCGTCCTTCCCCCCTCTCTGCTTCCCTTCCCCCACCTCCGCCCCTCTCTCCTCCAGCAATCTTCCCTGTTCCTTCCACACACCCACTCTCTCCTGCTACCCTTCCTTCCATCCCACCATTACACACAGAACCATTAGTAGCAGCGGTAGCAGCGGCAGCAGCAGCCGCAGCAACAGCAGCGGCATTATCAGCAGCAACACTCCCAGCCTTTCCACGCTCCTCTGCCTCCTCCCCTTCGATGCTAAACACCCCTATCGGCCCGCCACGCTTGCCGCCCCTGCCAGTCAGGCTCGGCGCGCCGAGCCTCTCCTCCCGAGCCTCCTCCTCCGAGATGTTCCCGAGGGAAGAAGGGGTTCGACGACGGGCCAGGGAGGTTTGGGAGGGGGAGAGAGGCGAGGAGGAGGAGGGGGGAGGGAGGGTACCGAGAGCAGCGACAGAGCGGAAGGAGGGGGTGGAGGTGAGGAAGGGGGTGGGTTCCATGAAGTGAGGGTGCGGGTGAGGAGGGGGGTTGGCTGCTGTTGAGGAGACGGGAGGGGCCTGTGGTGACAGCAACAAGGGTGGGAGAAAGAGAGCAGAAGAGAGGAATAATGAAAAAGGGGACAAGGGAGGGGTCCATGATGTGAGGTGAGGGTGCGGGTGAGGGGGTAGGGTGGTTCCTGTTGAGGAGACAGGAAGAGCCTGTGGTGGCACAGGGGTGGGAGGAGGAGAGCAGAGGGGAGAATGAACGAGGACGGGGACACGGGGGAAGGGTTGACGATGTGAGGGTGGGGGTGAGGGGAGAGGGTGGTTCCTATTGAAGAGACGGGAAGGGCCTGTGGGTGGCGGGCACAGGGGTGGGAAAAAGAGGCAGACGGTGGGAGGATAAGAACAGGCGTGCGGAAGAAGGTTGTACAAGTGGGAAAGAATGAGAAAGGGCATCTTTTCGAGTCAAATAGAAAAAAGCAGAGGGATGGGAGGAAAAGCATAAGGGTGGGGAGGAAGAGAGCATAGTTGGAAAAGCATGAGAGGGGGGAAAGGGGAAATGTCCTGATATGGGGATGGTTTTGAGTCGTTAAGAAAAAGGAACGGGAAAGGGGAGGGTTCTATGATATGGGCAAAGGCGTGAGAGGGAGGGAAGGGATGGGTGGAGGAATAAGTGGAAGGAAGTGTGAAAGGGTGTAATGAGGCAAGGCACGCTCATGTGTGAAAGGGTGTAATGAGGCAAGGCACGCTCATGTGTGAAAGGGTGTAATGAGGCAAGACACGCTCTTGTGTGAAAGGGTGTAATGAGGCAAGACACGCTCTTGTGTGAAAGGGTGTAATGAGGCAAGACACGCTCTTGTGTGAAAGCATGTGAGGCAAGATACTACTGCAACACTCACATGGCCCACTGTCTCCCCTGCCTTGCGTGCATCCACCACAGCTTGTAAGAAGTCTATTGATACCTGCACCCACCTGGGGGTGAGGAGAGGGGAGGAGGGGGCGACAAGGGAGGAAAGGCAAAAAGGGGAGGAAGAAGAGATGTGACTCTTATGTGCGCATAAGTGTGAACTCCCATCTCACCACCTGGCTTGCATGCATCCACCAGAGCCTGTAGGAAGCCCTTTGACACCTGCACGCACAGGGCGAAGGGAAGGAGTGAGTTGAGGGAGGGAGTGAGATGAAGGAGGGAGTGAGATGAGAGAGGGAGTGAGAGGAGCGGGGGAATGTGAACTCCATATCACCACCTGCCTTGCGGTTATCCAGCACGGCTTGTAGGAAAATCCAAGGAGACATGCATCCACCTGGGGAAGGGAGGAGCCGGGGAGGGAGGGCAACAAGGAGAGCGAGGAGAGATGGATGGAGATGAGTCGATACGTTGCGTGTTGAGGAGAGATGGATGGAGATGAGTCGATACGTTGCGTGTTGAGGAGAGATGGATGGAGATGAGTCGATACGTTGCGTGTGAGGAGAGGAAAGGAGGAAGTGATTTATTGAGGAAGCCCAACAAGCGGAGGAGGAAGGGATGAAGGGTAAGGGGTGGGTGGGAGAGAATATGTGCGTCCACCATACCGACCACACACACACACCCACAACACACATGCACACCACCCACCATATGCTGCTGGCAGTGAGGCCCTGCAGGTACGCCAGATGGACCCCGTGGTGTGACACTGCCAGCACCCAAGCCAACCTTTAAGGACCAACTAATCCGGCCAAGGCTGGAAACTCAACTGGAAACGCCCACCACACACCCTCCACACGACACACCCTCCACACGACACACCCTCCACACGACACACCCTCCACACAACACACCCTCCACAGACCCTCCACACACCCTCCACACACCCTCCACACGCCCAACACGCCCACACACCACACACCACACACACTGACACAAGCACAGCACGCACACCACCCACCATATGCTGCTGGCAGTGAGCCCCTGCAGGTACGCCAGATGCCCTCCGTGGTGTGACACAGCCAACACCACGTTTGGGTTGGCCCTGCGGAGTATGAGGGGGAAGGGAAGGGAGAGATAGGACCAAGAAGCAATGAATTCGGAGAGAACAGGGGAGCGGTAAGACAGAGGGTATGCCAGATGGCCCCCGTGGTGAGACACTGCATTTTGAGGCGCCTCAAAACAGGGGAGCGGTTAAGTGCATTTAACAGAGGACAGAGGGTACGCCAGATGGCCCCCGTGGTGAGACACTGCATTTTGAGGCGCCTCAAAACAGGGGAGCGGTTAAGTGCATTTAACAGAGGACAGAGGGTACGGCAGATGGCCCCCGTGGTGAGAGGTACCACATGTTGCACCTCGTTTGGGTTGGCTCTGAGGACAGGAGGGGGAGAGACAGGAACAGACTCAGCAGTGGTGTGTTTTCGTCTCTTAAAACATCACCGGGAGAGGCTCTGACAGTCAAAGGAATTGAGGCAAAGTTTGACTGCACACTTCTCTTCCGGCACACACACATGCCCTTACCCCAGAACCTCCCGGCCTCGTCCCACTCACTTGGCCTCGTCCCACGGAATGGCCTCCCGGGTGCAGATGGGGTCATCCAGTGCGCTCACTGCCAGCAGCGGCACCGCCACCTCTGGAAGAAATTGAGCCGAGCCGCAGCGACGGTAGTATGTGTCTACGGTCTGAAGAGGGGGGGAAACAAAGGGAAGGGGGGGAAGGGAAGGGGCAAAAGTAGGGGCGAGAAGAGGGGGGCAGTGGACAGCCAGCAGCGGCACTGCCATTGCAGGGAGGAACTAGCAGAACCAGTTGAGGCAGGAACTGAGGACAGCTGCAGCAACGGGGATCAGAAGAGCATGATGAAATTGAACAAGACGTCACCAGGGTGCAATCAGGGTTCATGACAGCACGGGGAGTGGACAGAGTGCAATCAGGCTGAAATACATGACGCACCTACATGACGTGCTTACATGACGTGCTTACATGACGTGCTTACATGACGTGCTTACATGACGTGCTTACATGACGTGCTTACATGACGTGCTTACATGACGTGCCTACATGACCACAAGGCATGCCATGAGAGCACAGAGCAGCATGGCAGTACCTCATAGTTGCTGACGATGCGAGTTTTGAGGCGCCTCAGAAGATTTTGGAGACGATTTTTGAGGCGCCTGAAAATTTTTTGAGGCGCCTAAAGAATCGCAGCATGGCAGTACCTCGTAGTTGCTGACAATGCGAGTTATGCGGTCGTCAAACTGGCGGATGGTGCGCGCCTGAATGAGTTTGCTTGCGGGGATGGTGGTGAGAGGGCCAAGACAGAGAAAGGAGCGCGGAATGATGTGAGAGGATGGCTCGGAGCAGGAGAAAGGGGAAGAATGGCACAGCGGATTCTGCAGTTGCTGAGAGTGCCAAAGGTTGAAACGAAATGATAAGCTGGTGATCAGCACACACACGAGATGAACCTATTGCGCTGCACATGCACTAACATTCCAGCCAGCACATGCCGCCCACATAGCACATGCCGCCCAGCACATGCCGCCCAGCACATGCCGCCCAGCACATGCCGCCCACATAGCACATGCCACCCAGCCCATGCCACCCCGCACACGCATGTTGCAGAGAACATGCCGCCCACCCACCTTCATGACGTGCTGCACGTCCACGAGGTGCTGAAAGCTGTCCTTGTGACTGCGAGGGGAGAGAGGAGAGGTGAAAGAGAGTGGAGGAGGAGGGCGGGGGGGAGAAAATGACCGAGAACCAAGCAAAGGCAAGACAAAAAGAGTGCAGAGGAGAGAGGAGGAGGGTGGGGGATGAGGAGGAAAGCAATCAAGGGGGACGAGTGAGCGGGAAAAGAATGCAGCACAGCCGCAGTTTCAGACATGACAGTAGTAATTTGCATCACATGCACTTTCAGAGATTCTCACACCACAACTCAACCCGTCCCATGGCATCCCATGCCACCCCATGCCCTCCCGTGCTATCCCATACCATCCCATGGCATCTCATGCTATCCCATGGCATCTCATGCTATCCCATGGCATCTCATGTCACTCCATCTTATCCCATGACATGTAGCCGTTGGCTCACAGCTTGGCCATGCCATGCCATGCCATGCCATGCCATGCCATGCCATGCCATGCCATGCCATGCCATGGCATCATCACAAGGGTTTCGTCTCACAGCTTGGCAAAGTCTCTGAGGCCCGTGACCATGGCAGTGTTGTACACTCGCTGCCTTGTCCGCCGATTCATCCATCGATCACAGATCTGGGCGAAAGGGTGGGCGGGGGAGAGAGGGGGAGAGAGGGGGAGAGAGGGCGAGAGAGGGGGAGAGAGGGGGAGAGAGGGCGAGAGAGGTGGGGAGAGGGGGAGAGAGGGCGAGAGAGGTGGGGAGAGGGGGAGAGAAGGGGAGAGAAAGGAACAGAAAGGGCATCACGCACTGGTTTAGGGTTCAGGGCTAAACAATTGAGAGCGCAGGGCGCAGTGGGTAATGGAGGGGGGGGGGAAAGTAAGTGGGGAGTTAAAATGGGCATGATGTTGCTTCTGAGCCGAAACGTGTGCGAAATGCGAATGGCACTGTTGCTGGCAGTTGAATGCGCACTCGCAAAACGTAAGTAACTCCATTATGTGTGAAAAGATATTTCAATTACAGCCCATCCACGCCACACCAGTGCCGCCCATCCACGCCACACCAGTGCCGCCCATCCATGCCATGTGTAGAGTGGACCAAGAGCGGACCAGTGAGAGCATACCAGCACGGCACATGGTGGCACAAGGCGAGCCCATACCAGCAGGTCCCAGGGATTGCCGATGGAGACAGCAGCTTGGATGGGCCCCGACGCACCCTCCTCCCCCAGGTACTTCACCTGCAGTAGAGGGGGAACGGGGGGGAAGAGACCGGAAGGAGGGGGGAAGAAGGAAAGCAGGGAGGGCAGGACAGCAGGGAGGGCAGGACAGCAGGGAGGGCAGGACAGCAGGGAGGGCAGGACAGCAGGGAGGGCAGGACAGCAGGGAGGGCAGGACAGCAGGGAGGGGAGCACAGATGGAGACAACAGCTTGGATGGGCCCCGAGGCACCCTCCTCCCCCAGGTACTCCACCTACAGTAGAGGAGTGTGCGGACGGGCAGGCAGGGCGGATGGGAGGTCGCGGGGATGAGGATTCCACGATGCCTCACCACAAGTCTTCTCGGCTCCCAGCGACGTGCCAATGGCATAGAGGGGCGCTAGCGGGTCATCTTCCTGCACAAGCCTGATGAGTCGCCCCCCCCTCTCTCCCCCCCACCACACCAGCATGCTTCAAGGCTGCCCATCTATCTTCAAGGCTGCCCGTCTATCTTCAAGGCTGCCCGTCTATCTTCAAGGCTGCCCGTCTATCTTCAAGGCTGCCCATCTATCTTCAAGGCTGCCCATCTATCGTCAAGGCTGCCCATCTATCGTCAAGTCATTCGGTGAATCTCCCTCACTCACCAGGATGTTGACTCCCAGCGACGTGCCGATGGCATAGAGGGACACGCGGCGTGGGGTGGGGGGAGGTAGTCCTTGTACTCAAGGCCGATGAGTGAGTAAGTCCCTCCCACCACACCTGTATCGTTCAAGCCTGTCCATCCATTCTACTTGTCCTATGAATGCCCCACCAGGATGTTGGCTCCAAGGGATGAGCCGATGGCATAGAGGGGCGCGCGGGGTAGGGGTAGTCCTGCTGCACCAGGCCGGTGAGTGAATAAGCCCCTCCCACCTTCCCACCCGCCCACTACACCTGAAGCTGTCTCACCAGGATGTTGGCTCCAAGGGACGTGCCGATGGCATAGAGGGGCGCGTGGGGGTAATCTTGTTGCACCAGGCTGATGACAAAGCGCAGGTCCGTGGTCCACCCCGCATTGTAGAAGCGGTTTGACTGGGAGTAGGTGGGGAAAGGGCGGGGAGAGAGTGGGGGCAGGGGCGGGGAAGGGAGATATAGAGGTGACAGAGCGCAGGTCCGTGGTCCACCCCGCATTGTGGACACAGCGGGAGGCTGTGGGGAGCGGGCGGGGAGGGGTGGCAAGGGGGTAGGGGAGGGGAAATGAGGCAGAGGGGTGGCAAAGGGGTAGGGGAGGGGAAATGAGGCAGAGGGGTGGCAAGGGGGTAGGGAGGGGAAATGAGGCAGAGGGGTGGCAAGGGGGTAGGGAGGGGAAATGAGGCTGTTGGGGAGCGGGAAGCTGTGGGGAGCGGGCGACACTGCACTGCACTGCACTGCACTGCACTGCACTGCACTGCACGAACTAGTCAGCAGAGGGGAGGGCTGGCTCCGCGACGCTGCTTCATGTGGATGGATCTATGTGGATGGATCTATTTGGATGGATCTATGTGGATGGATCTATGTGGAAGGATCCATGTGGATGGATCCATGTGGATGGATCTATGTGGATGGATCTATGTGGATGGATCTATGTGGATGGATCTATGTGGATGGATCTATGTGGATGGATCTATGTGGATGGATCTATGTGGATGGATCTATGTGGATGGATCAATGTGGTTGGATCTATGTGGATGGATCTATGTGGATGGATCTACGTGGATGGATCTATGTGGATGGATCTACGTGGATGGATCAATGGCACAGCTGATTCAATAGAAGAATCGTTTGACTGTAACCCAGCGTGACTGTAAGCAGTAAATAAGGTGTTGTGTGAGCTCACAGTGATGGTGACGTCCCCCAGGCCTCGATGGTTGGGCACCAGCGTTCGCCACCCTTTTGAGAATTCTCTAAGGCGAATCCAGAGTAGGGGTTACGTACTAACTAAGCAGTGCTGCGTTGACTTTTGAGGCGCCTCAAAACTCAAAAAAATTTGAGGCGCCTCAAAACTCACAAAAAATTGAGGCGCCTCAAAACTAAAAAAATTTGAGGCGCCTCAAAAGGTGAATTCAGAGTAGGGGTTACGTACCAACTAAGCAGTGCTGCGTTGCTCGAGCTCACTCACAGTGCTGCGTTGCTTGAGCTCACTCACAGTGATGGTGGTAATGCATTCCCAGCCCTCGATGGTTGGGCACCGGAAAGCACAGTGGCGTGTGAGCACTGAGCACTATGCGTCATCTCATGACTGTAAGAAGTGGTTACAGTGGTTACAGTGTTAAGCTATTTCAACGCACAGTGATGGTGACGCCCCCCAGGCCTCGATGGTTGGGCACCAGCGCTCGCCACCCGTGCCGTGTGACGCCCGCCACACACTGCCGCATGTACTGTGCAGGGGGGTGGCGTGCACGGGAGGGAGGAGCAGGAACCCGAGGGGCGCAGAGGGGATTAAATGGGTGCAAAGGGGAGAAATGAGGAGCAGAAGGGAAGAAGGGAGCAGAAGGGAAGAAGGGAGCAGAGAGGAAGAAGGGAGCAGAGGGGAAGAAGGGAGCAGAGGGGAGCAGAGGGGAAGAAGGGAGCAGAGGGGAAGAAGGGAGCAGAGGGGAGCAGAGGGGAAGAAGGGAGCAGAGGGGAGCAGAGGGGAAGAAGGGAGCAGAGGGGAGCAGAGGGGAAGAAGGGAGCAGAGGGAAGCAGAGGGAGAGAGGGGAGGAATTGGGAGCCAATGCAACCTCCACAGCCACAGAAGTCACACAGAGTGCTGTGTGCTGTGTGCTGTGTGCTGTGTGCTGTGTGCTGTGTGCTGTGTGCTGTGTGCCGCGCAGATGCGAGCAGAGGGGCAATGAGAGGTGGAGGGTGGTGTGGGTAAAACTGGAGGTGGGAGAGGAGGGAAAACGGGTGAAGGGGGGAAGCGCAAGAGCGGATGGAGGTGGGAAGCGCAAGAGCAGGTGGTGTGTACGGGGAGGTGGGGGAAGCACGGCTTTGTGCTCGAATTACATTTTATCACCATCACCATCACCATCACCACCACCATCCCCATCACCATCACCATCCCCATCACCATCCCCATCCCCATCCCCATGCCTATCCCATCCACACTGTCATCCCCATCCCCATCCCCATCCCCATCCCCATCCCCATCTCCATCCCCATCCCCACTCCCATCCCCATCCCCATCCCCATCCCCATCCCCATCCCCATCCCCACCCCCATCCCCATCCCCATCCCCATCCCCATCCCCATCCCCACCCCCGTCCCCATCCCCATCCCCATCCCCATCCCCATCCCCATCCTCATCCCCATCCCCATCCCCATCCCCACCCCCATCCTCACCCCCATCCCCATCCCCATCCCCATCCCCACCCCCATCCCCATCCTCACCCCCATCCCCATCCCCATCCCCATCCCCATCCTCACCCCCATCCCCATCCTCACCCCCATTCCCCATCCCCATCCCAATCCCACCCCCATCCCCATCCCCATCCCCATCCTCACCCCCATCCCCATCCCCATCCCCACCCCCATCCTCACCCCCATCCCCATCCCCATCCCCATCCTCACCCCCATCCCCATCCTCACCCCCATTCCCCATCCCCATCCCCACCCCCACCCCAGACCATTGCACCCCAACCCACAACAACCCTCACCTTGTCACAGGACTGGCTGGTAAGCCCCAGCACCACAATCACATATACATATCATCATCCTCATCAACCCCAACCAACCCCACCCAAATCCACCCCATCCCAACCAACCCCACCCCACCCCACCCCACTCCACTCCACCTCACCCCACTTCACCCCACTCTACCCCATCCCACCCTAATGCATCCCACCCTAACCGCATCCCACCCCCTTGTGACTGAACTGGCTAGTAAGCCCTGGAACCACAATCATAGATGTATATCCCCATCATCCCCATCATCTCCAACCCACCCCACCCCTCACCTTGTCATTGGACTGACTGGTAAGCCCCGGCACCACAATCACAGTCGGAACCTGCGATGTCCGCTCCGCCCTCCCTCCTGCCACCTTTGCCTCTCCATTCCCCCCCTGCCGCTCCTGCACCAGTCCCGTGGCCGCCCTTCTCCCCAACAGCGCCCACCCCTCCCAATCCCACCCCACCTCTCACCTTGTCACTGGACTGACTGGTAAGCCCCGGCACCACAACCTCAATTGGCACCAGAGACGTCCGCTCCGCCCTCCCTCCCGCCACCTTTGCCTCTCCGCCTTTCCCACTGCCCCTGCACTCTTCGCTTGGCCGCCCCTCTCCCCACCAGCGCCCACCCCACCGCACTCTATTCCACCCAACCCCACACCACCCCTCACGCACCTTGTCACTGGACTGAATGGTAAGCCCCGGCACCACACTCAAAGAATACAGATCCTCGTCCCAACATCCCCACCCCGCCCCACCCCACCCCACCCCACTCCTCTCCACCCCACCCCACCGCATCCCACCCCTCACCTTGTCACTGGACTGGCTGGTAAGCCCCGGCACCACAATCACAATCGGCACCTGCGACGTGCGCTCCGCCCGCCCTCCCGCCACCTTTGCCTGTCTGCCTCCACCCCATTCCACCCCACCCCACCCCGGCCACCGCACTCCACCCCACCCCACCCCACCACACCCCTCACCTTGTCATTTGACTGGCTGGTGAGCCCCGGCACCACAATCACAATCGGCACCTGTGATGAGCGCTCCGCCCGCCCTCCCGCCACCTTTGCCTCTCCGCTCCCCCCCACTCCCGCCGCTCCTGCACCCTTCCCGCCCTTCCCCCCACCGACTGCAGGAGAATGGTGGGTAATGTGAAACGAACGGACATGGAGGGGGACGAACGGACAGGAGAATGGCAGGTGGCACAATGCATTACGGCAGAGGCGAACGGGAGAATGGGAGGGACGGGGAAAAGGTGGGTAATGTGAAACGACGGACATGGAGGGGGATGGGGTGTGGTGGGAGGAGGATAATTTTGACTTCGACGAAGTGATTTGGAATTGACTATCACAAACCCATGCGCCCCCCATCACCCCCCTGCACCCCTTATCGCCCCCCTGCACCCCCCTGCACCCCTCACCTGCTGCTTCAGGTTCAGCCCAGTCGAGGCCGAGGGTGCCGCCATCAGGTGTGCGCACCACATGCCTGAATTGGAGGAAGACACGGGGGTAGGGGGGGGGGGTAGGAGCAGACGACTTTTGAGACGTCTCAAAAGTCGCCATCAGGTGTGCGCACCACATGCCTGAATCGGAGGGAGGTACGGGGGGGGAGGGGGGGGGGGGGGGGAGGGGGCTGTTAGGAGCAGACAGAAGGAATGTGGCTTGAAGGAAAAACGAGGGGAGGAGAAAGACACAGCACTTGACTAGGGATCCCATGAGCAGAGGACACCCACCTCGTGTAGGGCATATTATGAGGACTCCCACCTGATATAGGGCAATCTCTGAGGACACCCACCTGACGCAGGGCAATCTACGAGCACACCCACCTGATGTAAGGCACGTGGGGCGTGGGCGCGCAGAAGTGCACGAAGGTGGTCTGCAGGTGCGGACTGCACAGCCAGGGCGTTGGCCAGAAGCTACGGGGGGAGAGGGAGAGGGGAGGGAGAGGGGCGTATGGGGGGATGCACACGAGGGTCACACGAAGGTGGTCTGCAGGTGCGGGCTGCACAGCCAGGGCGTTGGCCAGAAGCTACGGGGGGAGAGGGAGAGGGGAGGGAGAGGGGCGTATGGGGGGATGCACACGAGGGTCACACGAAGGTGGTCTGCAGGTGCGGGCTGCACAGCCAGGGCGTTGGCCAGAAGCTACGGGGGGAGAGGGAGAGGGGAGGGAGAGGGGCGTATGGGGGGATGCACACGAGGGTCACACGAAGGTGGTCTGCAGGTGCGGACTGCACAGCCAGGGCGTTGGCCAGAAGCTGCAGGGGAGGAGGGAGAGAAGAGGGGAAGGGAAGTAGAGGGAATGGGGAGGGGAAGGGGGAGGTGGAGGGGCGGGCGCATGGGGTGGGGCGCATTGAGGCACACGTGGGACATACATGATCCATGGGGGCAGGTACGGGAGAGGGTGAACACACAGGTGCGGAGCGCAGAGCCAGAAGAGGGACACAGAGGGAGAGAAGAGGTCACAGGGGCGCACAGACGCGTAACAAAGGCGCCATATCGCAGAAAGTTTTTTAGGCGCGTCAAAACAAGAGAGTTAATAGCAGACTCTGGGACTCCGAAAACGAATTTCTGGTGGCTGCACCGTAGCAGCGGCACCAGATTCAGTTGAATCCGGCAATGATTCTACCAGATTTGGCTGAATCCGTAAAGGATTCGAGCTACCAGATTTCGTAATCCGTCAAGGATTCGAGCTACCAGATTCAGTCGTGACTCGGGTGCCCCATTGCCGCCTTCAGTGCGCTTTTGCACTTTCCACGCGTCAGTCTGACTGCCCGAATCCCCTCGTTTCCCAACCAGATCAATCCCTACGGCGTTACTTGACTGAATCCATACCCGCAACAAGCGAAGCCGCCATCAACTGCGGCATGCGGAAGCCGCCACTCACTGCGGAATGCGCATTCGCGCGAACACGGCGCGCGCCACGTTGGACCCGGCGTGGTGCACCACCTTCACCTTATCGCCGACGAACACGTGGCTGACCACGTGCAGGTCGAACCAATTGTAGAGAAACGCCAGCAGCAGCGCCGCGAGCGCCGCGAGCAGCAGCCACCACACGAGCGGCGGCAGCTGCGACACGGCGAGAGCGCCGGCGGCGACGGATTCAAGCAGCCACGGGAGGAAATCTGGCGGAATCGCTATTGTCGAAAAGACGGACGGGAATGACGTCATCGTGGAATGGAGTCTCGAGGTGTCAGGCGAGTGAGTACAATCGACGGCGAGATCCTAAGGCGTCGCGCGCTCGCACGGCATAGAGTGCGAATGTGCGGATCGCAGAGCGTTGCTCACGGCGAGGGACGGTCGCAGAGTACGGCTGTGCCGTGAGGCAAAGGGATCTTTGTTCAAATGATGGCTGTGGTACTTTCTGCTGCTATGGGGTGGGGGGGATTCATTCAAGGCACGACGAAGTCATTCGTGTGGTGGAGGAGGGGCATGTGGAGGCGAAGCTGTGGCCCACATTTGTACTTGAGGTGTGGCGAGGAGGTATGGTATGGTGGCGAACGATTCGCGAACCAGTTACAAAGAGGACGAGCGAAGGTTGGAACACTGCGTATGTAGTTCAGTGTAAATCTGTCTACTTACAGAATGAATGAAGCTCTAACAATTTTAGTGGAACGTTACTTATACAGGTAAACTTTATATAAGCTTTTAGAGTATAACATTTTTTTTCGAGAGCATATAACATTTCTTCAGATTACTCGTTCAATAAAATGTTAGGGCTGATTGTTATCTGAAACCATAGATTGCTTACCGGCATACCTTTCAAAATTTGTGTCTGAACAATCTGTATAACGCGGCCGACACAAAACAGTGAGGCGCGCCGTCACCGTGACCCCGAAAAGCACTGCATAGGTTGAGCCGCCGCATTCCCGCCAATCCACTTCCCACCCACCCTCCTTCCATGTGTGCACTGGAGAAGGAGACTTCACGAGGACGCTCTGTATTCAGTGTTTTATTCATATCTCGCTTCTTCAACGTATATCTATGAACTCCGCTAACATTTCGAGTTAGGGTTTGGAAGTTCTAAGCAAGCCTCTTCGCGTCCATTTTTGAAGGTGAGATGTATGGCGAGAAGTGTAGGAGTGTGTTTGTTGCGGAGGATCATTAGTTACTAGTCCGTGCGAAATTTAAATTCCGAATCCATTCAGCGCATATCGAGAGCTTGAGAAGAATCGAGTGGACGGCTTTGCTAGAGCTGCTTGTTAAGGTAAGAAGCACGAATATCAACGCCGCAGAGACGCCGATATTCCGCGAGTACATGCAGCGAAAGTGCGAGTGATTGAGAGGGCGAGGGCGCTACGGGAGCGCCGGTGTCACCGAAATCGTAGTTCAAGAAAGATGAGGAAATCAATTACGTTTTTTCGTTGTGGCCTTCGGACGCAGCAATGGGCTGGTCGAAAGTGCAAACAGAACGGCTTTTACGTTAAGTTTTCGGCCCTTATTCTGCATCTCCTCTCCCGCTCCCTTTGCCCCACCATCTGGCAGAAACAATCAACAGCGTGTGGTTACCAGCATGGAGAGGAAGCAGCAGGTGCTGGGTTTCGGCCAGAGGAAGCCAGTGGGGGAGCGGCAGGGCAAGCATGGCAGTGCGAGCGGCAGGCAGACGGACTGGAAGGCCGCGGAGGAGCCTGCCAGTGAGGTGCAGAACGGTGAGTCGTCGTGGCTGTGTGGTACAGTCGTACAGTATATCCTGGATCACCTGTTGTGACACACATCCTCCGCCTTCCGCTTCGATTATTCCCTCATCCTAGGCTCCATCCCCATCCATTTTTATCGTCCACATGGATGCGGCATTCTTCATCCGCCTCTCCTACCATCTCTGTTCCCCACCCACCCCTGTTGCCACCCACCTCTCCTCCCAACCCACCTCCGTCCGCCACCCGACTTCCTTTTCTCTCCACCAGACGCCAATATTGCACCACCGCAGGAGCAGGAGCAGGCAGAGCGCGCCCTGCACCTGTTTGACATGGGCATGGCGTTCGGCCCCTCCGTGTGGTGCTTCCCATTCTCTCTCCCCTGTCTCCCCAACTTCCCTTATTCCCCACCAGATGCTGGTGTCGCACCACCCCACGAACACACGGAGCGTGCCCTGCACCTGTTTGACATGGACATGGCGTTCGGCCCTTGCACTGGCCTCTCCAGCTTGGAGCGCTGGCAGAGGGCCAGCCGCTTGGGGCTCCACCGTCCGCCCCACGTGCGAGTGCATATTGCAGCTCTTGACATTCACATGGCTTTGTGTGCTGCTTCCCACGCTCCTCTCTTCTCCCCAGTCGCTATGATTGCACCACCACAGGAGCAGGCTGAGCAGGCAGAGCGCGCCTTACAGCTTTTTGACATGGACATGGCGTTCGGCCCCTGCACTGGCCTCTCTCGCTTGGAGCGCTGGCAGCGCGCTAACCGGTTGGGGCTCAACCCTCCGCCGCACGTGCGAGCGCTGCTGGAGTCTGCCTCGTGCCGTGAAGACAGCGTTTGGGAGGGCAGGGTGTGAGAGGGGGGGGATGGAGCATAGCTGCATGGGTGCAGGGCGTTAGGTGGTTGTGGAGGGCTCTCCCATATGGAGGGCTGTGACTGGGCGAGCCGGTTGGGGCTCAACCCTCCGCCCCACGTGCGGGCGCTGCTGGAGTCGGCCTCGTGCCGTGAAGACAGCGTTTGGGTTGGGCAGGGTGTGAGAGGGGGGCGTGGGCATGGGGGCATGGCATCAAGGCATCTGGTTGCTGTGAAGGGGTCTCTCCCACTGGGAGAGGGTGGGTGGGAGAGAAATGGCATGGATAGGTTTAAAGCCCATCCCTCACGATTGTGCATTGTTGCACCTGGTGCTGTTCCGTGAAGTGAGCGCGTGGGAGGGTGGATGTGAGTGTGGGGGATGATCGTGTGTGAGGGGAGGGGGATGAACGTGTGTGAGTGAGGGGAGGGGGGTGAACGTGTGTGAGTGAGGGGAGGGGGATGAACGTGTGTGAGTGAGGGGAGGGGGATGAACGTGTGTGAGTGAGGGGAGGGCGATGAACGTGTGTGAGTGGTGGGGGATGAGTGTGTGGGTGGTGGGGGATGGATGACTGCGGGAGTGTGGGGATGAGTGTGGGTGTGAGCGCTGTGTAATGTATGATGATTGTCATAGGAGTTGTGGGATGAATGAATGTGTGTGAGCTGATGCCATTACATATTGGATTGTTTCGCGTGATGACCCTATGGTTTGTTTTTGAACCAGTAGCGTCCTGGGAGATGCATGGATGTGCGTGCGCAATGAATCGTCGGAATGTGGACAGGACAGGGCCCAAAATATGGACAGTAAGAACACCCATTTCATTCATTTTTCCTTTGTTTTTTCAAAACACCCTAGGGTGTTATACGCAGGAGTTTAAGATATAAAACGCTCGGTTTGAAGGGTAAATCTGCATCACGTACACGTTCTTTTTCAACCAACACCAGAACGCGGCCGTAATCGAAGCGTCTTAAAGCTCGCGTCTCCAATTACACCCTGGCATCCAAGTGTTAAACGCTTGATATAGGGTAACAGACTGCTTTGTCACAAAGTTCACCCAGGCAAGGGTTGAGTTTCAGGGAAGTGTGGGTGGGGTGGTTTGGGTTTGCAACGTGCACTCTAATTGGGTGAGCACATACGCCAAAGCAGGTTGGTTTGGCAAGCACTCCTGTGCGACAAATAATGCTGTGAACGCTGCCTTGTGCGACAACTGGACCGTCGCCCTCTCGTCCCTACAAACCAAGCGTTTTACACAGCTCCATTGTTCCTCTAACTGTACCTCCCTTCACCCTCTAACCTCACCACCCTGCACCCTCCGACCTCACCTCCCAACCTCTCACCTGACCAACCCTCCCATCTCTCTATAACCTCTCCTCATTTGCACCTCTGACCTCACCTCCCTTCCCCCCAACTGATCTAACCTCCCTTTCCTCCCTCGCGCATAACCTCCCTTCGCACTAATACGTCACCTACCTTCCCCCCAATACAAGACCCGCCTTTCCCCTCCCACCGCACCCTCGCGGTGCTCATGGGACATCATGTCGTTTACTTACCCTCTGTATCACCTCGTTTTCCCCTCTAAGAGGTCTCCATGCGGTCACATCCCTTTCTCCCATGCCACCACCTCCCTAACCCCCATGCCTTCAAGACCCATTTCATCACATGGTGCTCGCCATGCCATCCCATCCTATACCTTCCAGCGGAAAAGAATATCCCTTCTTACCTGCCATCACGGTCATTACCCCTTAATCGTCTCCCGACTTCCCCCATGCCCTCTCCTCCCTTCCAACCCTTGTCATCACATCTCTTTCCCCTCCGCCATCACATCCCTCCCACCCAGATCCCTTCTCCCCTGCCACGCCCTTCGTAATCTCAATCCGCCCTTCTTACTGTCAATCAGCCCTTCTTCCCAGCATTCCGCCCTTCCTATTGCCCTTCCCCCTCGGTCTCCCCCTCCATTCGCCCTCCCCATAACAACCCTTCAACCCGCGCCTTATTCAGCCCATCCCTAATCCCCGCCCATCCCTAATCTCATACCGCCATAACTCCTCGCATTCCGCCGTAATCCCTACTCTCATTCCGCCCTTATTCCTCTCATTCCGCCCTTATTCCTCTCATTCCATCCTTCTTCCTCTCATTCCGCCCTTCTTCCTCTCATTCCGCCCTTCTTCCTCTCATTCCGCCCTTATTCCTCTCATTCCGCCCTTATTCCTCTCATTCCGCCCTAACTCCTCTCATTCCGCCCTTCTTCCTCTCATTCCGCCCTTCTTCCTCTCGTTCCGCCCTTCTTCCTCTCGTTCCGCCCTTCTTCCTCTCATTCCGCCCTTCTTCCTCTCATTCCGCCCGTCTTCCTCGCATTCCGTAATTCTTCGTCTCATTCCGCACTTCGTCCTCTCATGACGCTCCTCTTCCTCTCGCCGCGCCCGTCATTCTCTCCCTAATCCCCTCTTCCTAAACACACCGCCCTTCCTAATCGCATTCCGCACACCCTACACTCATTCCGCACGTATCAACTCTCATTTAGCCCGTCGTAGTCTAAATCAGCCCTTCTAAATCTCATTCGGCGCTTACCACTCTCATTCCGCCCGTTTCCTCTCTCACCGACGATATGGGAAGCTATTCTCATTCTAATCGTACACGGTGCAAAGAATGCTTACCAGGAATGTGCTGTCGAATTTCACAAAGCAAGGAGACGGGAGGAAGGTTGCTTGGCGTGAGCAGTCATTTCAACCCCACAAAGTGCTTGTGTCGTCGAAGTGGGTCGCACAGTTCTCAATCAGACCCAGACCTGTCCCTTCAGGCTCGACTTGCACCCAAACCTGCACTCCCAGGTTTGTTCTGGCACCCTCTGTTAGGGAGTTCGCCGTGTTGTTTTCACCAGCTCCCCAAAAATTTCGTCATTCGCCACCCAATCACTGACGTGCAAACCGATGCGGAATCCGACATGCAGTATTACACGGGATGCGCTTGCAGCTAAGGAACTGCAGCTGAAATCGTACCAGGAAGCGCGGAGGGAGAGGCTGCATCTGCAGGCCGGATTGAAAGAGGAGCTGACCGGAGAAATCGCCTCAAAACATCTGTCTGCAAAAGTCCGAGCGAGGAAGGCTCGTACTCTAATCAAGGAGCTGAGGGAAGGTGGTAGCACGGTGACTGGGGTGCAGCAGATTCTTGGTGCTGCGTCTGCCTTTTTTAACAACATCTTCGGCAAAGACCGTCGTACGGATTTCTCGAGCTGGGTGTTTAACCCAAGTCGGTGCCTGGGGAAAGAAGCAGAGGACATGTTAAGGGCAGATTGGTCAGAGCAAGAAGTTAAAGCAGCTTTCACATCAATGGCGAGGAACAAATCACCAGGGGGGGACGGTCTTCCCAAGGAGATGTTCGAGTGTCACTGGGACCTGCTGGGGGATAGTTTCATGGCTATGGTCAAAGACTTCGAAAGGTCAGCTTCGCTCCCGGAGGAACTAAAGGAGGCGGTCACGATCCTGTTGCACAAGAAGGGTGACCGGGATCAGTTAAACAACTACAGGCCCATCACGCTCCTCAATTTCACGTATAAGGTGCTGGCAAGAGTAATGGCGGACAGAATGAAGCGGGTGCTGCATCAAGTCATCTCACCGGAGCAGTACGGTTTTATCCCGGGGAAGCGACTGTCTGACGCGGTCGCGCTGGTGGCTGACGTCATTGATGTGGCGAGGAACGAGAAGGCGGACTGGTACATGCTATTGGTTGACTTTCAGAAGGCTTTTGACTCGGTGTCAAGAGATTTTCTCTTCCAGGTGCTTCGGAAAATGGGGTTCCCGGAGCGATACGTTGGCTGGATTGAGGGCCTGCATGAAAACACCACGACGAAGCTGTTGGTTAACGGCTGGCTCGGGGAAGGACTAAATGTGGTCTCGGGGGTGCGGCAGGGGTGCCCTCTTGCCCCTTACCTCTTCCTGTGTGCGGTGGAGCCTTTGGCTCAGGAGGTGGAGAAGGCAAAGCTGGGGCTTGACAAGGATGGGCAGCAGCTGAGCTACCTCGGCTACGCTGATGATACGACGCTCATTCGACATGGGAAAGAGCAAATTGTTAAGGCGGAAGAGATTTTGGACAATTTTGAAAAAGCAGCAGGTCTGGCAACAAACAAAGGGAAATCCGTGGTGTTACCTCTGGGGATTAATATCGGAGAGGCGGCGGACGGCTCGTCTGACTTCAAATGGGCCGGTGCAAATGATGCTGAACGCCTGCTGGGGGTATGGGTGTCTCCCTCGGGGAACGGGCAAGTGACATGGGAGAAGGCAATCGGTCGCGTCGCTGAAAAGCTGGTGAAATGGAAGCAGAAGTACCTGACGACGGTGGCGCGTGCATCGGTGGTGAATTTTTACATTACTCCGTTGATCGCGTTCCAAGCTCAAGTCTACCCGCCGCCTGCAGAGGTCTGGGAGGACTTGGTGCGCATGCTGCATGGTTTCTTATCTGGCAACAGAGTATCAGCGGCAAAAGGTTTCTTCCTCTGGAGCAAAGTTCTGCTATACACGACGAGAGAGGCGGGCGGAATTGGAGTTAGAGACCCGGAGATCGTTATCACCTGTCTGGCGGCGAGAAGGGCGGGACTGTACGTCACGGAAAATAACTGCTTGAAGAAAGATTTGATGGAGCGGGCGGCGAAGCTTCCTCTGGGCGTCGACTCGTTTGGGGCTCATGAAAAGCTCTTCAAAAACTGGGAAGGCGGAAGTGTCCGCTGGAAGCAGACGTGCGAAAGTCTCTCCGGCTCGCCGTTGTGTCTACGTGGCCCAGCCAGAACGAGAGAGGAGATCCTGCAGGAGCGGGTTGTTTTTAACAAAAACATACTGCTGCGCGGGACCACTCCGATCGGGGGACAAAAGGATGCCAGGAAGCTATGGGACCTGCGACTTGGGGACTTATTCTCACGGAGTGAGGATGGGGAGCTACTGCAGAAGTCGGTTGCAGAGTTAACGGCGCTCCTGGGCAGCAGTGGCCCGGCGAAGCTGGCATTGAAAGCTGTGGGGTCGCTACCAGCTTGGTGGTGCAGAGAGTTAGGGTTTTCGACCGTACTCCCCTGTTCGGCTGGCCCTCTTCAGCAGTTGGTGATCCTGGAGGAGGGGCGCATAATTCCCTTGAAGAAGATGAAGGAGGGTTGGGTGGAGGCCCGGAAAGAGTCCTACAAGCGTACAAAATGGGCGGCACGCTGGGGTGGTGTCATTGATTGGAAACGGGCTGTGAACACGCGAGACTCGCTGGCGGTTCCTAACCGTCCACGTGATGTGCTTACCAGAATTCACGGTCTGAATCTGCAAGTGGGGGAGAGACTGGCGTTCCTCAGCAGCAAGCCGGTGTGCCCTTATTGCGGGGAAACTGAGACTTTGGAGCACTGCCTGGTCCTCCGCCCCAGGATCCAGGTGGTTTCCGGGGCCCTTCGGCGCGCTCTGGGCATGCTAAACCCCAGCCGCACGACAGTCACGCTGGGTGATCTTCTGTTTCAGGAGGCTGGAACCAGCTCAGCTTTTCCGGAGCTGACGTTGACATCTATCACTTTGCACCAATTATGGCTCGAGCGGTGTGAAGCGGTCTTCAGGGGGCAAAAGTTTCGGACACAACGAGTCTTGAGGCGGATTGAGGTGGCTTTTCGGCAGCATGTGAGACTGTACACCCACAGATTGGGGCCAACGTGGCAGAAGCGGAGGCAGCAGGATTCGTCGGAGGAGCGGAACATGCTTGGGAAAATCAGGGAGGATGGCAAGGACCTAAGGTGGAAGAGTGGCTTTGCAGCATTATGGTCGGCACGGAGGGCCAAGAACACTCGGCCCTAGAATCTTATCTGGAGCAAGGGGTCCCCCCTAGTTCCTCACGCACGGTTACGACCGTTCTTGTCAGTATATGCTTGTACACTCGGTATATACTTTCAATTATCAAAAAAAAAAAAAAAAAAGCTGACGTGCAAACCCAACCAAGTGTTAGACCGTTGAAAATTGGAGACGCGAGTTTTAAATCGCAGAACCTCTAACGAAACCTGTTCTCGTCAGACATTTTCTGTTTCAGGCTTTCAGCCATAGCAAACATCGAAGCTGGTCCCACAACAAGAATCTAGGTTATCTCGAGACACATCAGCTGATATCTCGTTGAGCATTACACTGCACCCGATTAGGCTTGTGCGGAAACGGACGGTCTGATCGCGCTTCGGTCTGATCGCGCTTTTCCAGTCACATCTCTGATTGGGCTTGATCCCCCGTTCCATGGCAATATCCAATCTGTTTAGACGATGCACCAACGGCCCTGGGATGATGATGACAGCTGTGATAAGAACGAGTCGTCTAGCACTTACGTTTCCCAAACGACTGAACATGGTGGGACGGTTTGATGCTTCGCCAGAGCAATTTGCACAATGGAAAGGGTCTCGCTCGATTCGGGCAATAAAAAGTCGTCGCATGAATCGGAAAGCGTGGTTGGGACAACGTTCTCTCTTAGCCTCTCCTTACTCGGCGATCACAGAGTCTCGCTGGACTTGAGCCATTGACTGAGATAGCACTCTTGGCCTTTCCGTTCCAGTTGAAACCGACGGATCTGATTACAAGTCAGTGGGTGGTTTCGACTGATAATTAACGAATTCGATCAGAATATTGCAGCATCCGACATGGATTTCAAGGTCAATTTTAGAATCCCAGCTTGTTTGAAAACCCGTGGACGTAACAGCCGCCTAAGTAGAAATGGCGAGTCCGCAGGATCCGTCACGGATGAAGACCCTCCTTTCGGTAACAACAGTTCTGGGATCAAGCCGAGTGCAGCTCACGCGGACGTCTCGCTTACTGTTTCTCCTGACGAACTTCTGTCTTCGGTTTTCAGCAGACTGATTGAGTCCCATCTGCCCATCTGCTGCCGGCCACACGAGACACGTCAGCAGCGGAGAGGTCGAGACAGGTTGAAATCAGTGGAGCAAGAATTCGATGTTGGCTTCACGGCTGTGGATGTTGGGCCGCAAGTGTGCCTTTCTTCTGACTTGACCGTTGAGCAAACCAAGCTTAGCACGGGTACAACCATCATTGTGGATTCCCTGGAAAAAGTATCTCGAAATCGAAGGGACAAGGTCGAGAAGAAGGTCCAGCCATTTCGGAAAGGTGGTGTGAACGACGCACACTTGTTACAGCTTCAGAAGTTTAACGAGCAGCTGAAGAGTATGGAGGCCTGGCTGGCGGCACTTCAGAAGGAGCAAAGTGGACTAGATCAGTGCGCTGGGGCAAATGGAGGGGCAGCAGAGCAAGCGGAAGAGGAAGATGATGAGGAAGAGGATGAAGGAGAGGACTCCCTGGAAAACGTATCTCGAAATCGAAGGGACAAGGGCGAGAAGAAGGTCCAGCCATTTCGGGATGCTCCTGCTCCTGCTCTTGCATCTGCAACTGCAGTTTCTCGCCGTTCGGATTCTGTTACTCCTCATCCTGCTTCTGCGCCTGCTGCTGCGCCTGCTGCGCCTGCTGCTGCGCCTGCTGCTGCTCCTGCTGCTGGTCTTGCTGCTGCGCCTGCTGCTGCGCCTGCTGCTGCTCCTGCTGCTGGTCTTGCTGCTGCGCCTGCTGCTGCGCCTGCTGCTGCGCCTGCTGCTTTCACCACCACATTGGAACCCAACGAGGCCGGCAACATGGAAGGCGAGGGGCGTATGATCCCGACAGGGATCGGCGGAGCTAAGCTGAAGTTCCTTGATTCTGACGCTGGCAATACCAGGGAAAAGGAAGGGGAAGAGAAAGCTTCTGTGAACGACCCCAACAGCATGAAAGGCGAGGGGCGTCAGCCTAATAGAGGAGCGCCAATAGGGATCAGCGGAGCAGAGCTGAAGTGCCTTGATTCTGGCGCTGGCAATACCAGGGAAAAGGAAGGGGAAGAGAAAGTTTCTGTGAACGAACCCAGCAGCATGAAAGGCGAGGGGCGTCAGCCGAAGAGAGGAGTCCCGACAGGGATTGGCGGAGCAAAGCCAAAGTGCCTTGATTCTGACGCTGGCCTTAGCAGGGAAACGGAAGTGGAAGACACAGTTGCTGTGAAGGACGCACTCTGGTTACAGCTTCATAAGTTGAAAGAGCAGGTGAAGAGTATGGATGGCTGGCTGAGGGCACTTCAGAAGGAGCAAGGTGGTCTTAGTCAGTCCGCTGGGGCAAACAGAGGGGCAGCAGGGCAAGCGAAAGAGGAAGGGGAGGAAGAGGAGGAGGACTATGCTGTGAGAGAAGCACGCTTGTCATGGTCCTTTCAAGAGTTGGAAGAGCAGGGGAAGAGTATGGATGCCTGGCTGCAGACGTTTCAGAACCAGCAAGGTGGACTAGGTCAGTGCACTGGGGCAAACGGAGGGGTAGGAGAGCAAGCGGAAGAGGAAGAGGAAGAGGAAGGGGAGGAGGAAGAGGAAGGGGAGGAGGAGGAGGAAGAGGAAAAGGAAGAGGACGGGGAGGAAGAGGAAGAGGAAGAGGAAGAGGAAGAGGAAGAGGAAGAGAAAGAGAAAGAGGAAGAGGAAGAGAAAGAGGAAGAGGAAGAGAAAGAGGATGAGGAAGAGGAAGAGGAAGAAGACCATGCTGTGAGAGAAGCACGCTTGCTATGGTCCCTTCCGAAATTGGAAGAGCGGGTGAAGACTGATGTGATGCTGCAGTTGACACCCTGCTCTGGAGTCCAAATCAGCGAGGGTGAACTGGGCCAGCCCGATGAGGCAATCGGAGCGGCAGCAGAGAAAGCAAGAGCTGAGGAGAGTCAGGAGTTGGAAGAGCGGGTGAAGGCTAATGCGGTGCTGCAGTGGGCTCCCTGCTCTGGAGTCCGGATCAAGCAGGGTCAACCTGATCAGCCCGATGTGGCAAATGGAGCAGCAGCAGAGAAAGCAAGAGCTGACGAAAGTCCGAAGCCACGTCAGCTGCTGTCTCGGGCGGGCATGGTTCACTACTTGGATGCGACGGGTGCGTGGGATTACGATCTGTGCGAGTGCTGTTTTGACCGTGCTATAAGCAAGAGGGCACAACGAGCACTTGCCATAAAGAGCCTGGAGGACGTGCGTGGCCGCCACCTGGGCAGGAATCAGCCTCATTGCACCCCTGCCGCAGCACCCGAGCAGCAGCAGGAGGCCGATTTCAGGTTCTTTAGTGGAGCAAAGGAGCTGCAGGTGCTGCGAGGGGGGCACAGACTCTCGGCGCAGGAGCAGGTTGAATGGAAGGAGGAATGGGCGCCTTATTACTGTGCAGAAGCGATGCTGCTCGAGTGGATGGCTGAGCCTCGTGTGGGCGTGCTCATGGACCTAGGGAGGATCAGATCCCGCCTGCCATCCATTCTGGGTGCTGCGAACACTGCAACAGATGCAGCAGTAGCTGAAGCAGCAGCAGTAGCAGCAGTAGAAGCTGGAGAAGATGCAGCAGCAGGAGACATGAACGCATCTGCTGCATCTGCAGCATGGCCCTGCTGCTGGCGCTGCAGCAGTTGCTGGGCTGCCTACCGTCGTGCCGTCAATTTTGCGACGTCCCTAGTTCTTGTAGCGAGATCCTCCCGCATTGTGACTCTATGGAGGGCTCACCTGTACTCCTATCTGGCCGCCTGGCCTGTAATCCTAGCCGAGCTAGGGGCGGGCAGGCAGGGGGAAGACGACTGCTTTGCGTCCATGCTGGTTCAAGTGCTTGGGGTGAAGGAGAGTGCTGACCTGCAGGAAGGGTTTGGGTTTTTTGTGCAGCATGTGCTGTCAGGCGGGCTGGAGAAGGTGCATGGAGAGGGGAGGGGGGGGGACGAGAAGAGAGCTTCTGAAGAGACGAATGCAGAGGGGAAGGGGGGATGTGAGGGTGTGGGGGAAGGCAGTGCAGAGCAGACGGGGAGACACGCGGGGCTGGAGCGGGTGGTTGGTGGGGGCAGATTGGGGGAGAGATTGTCCGTGGGGGGATTGGTGGATGCTTCACATGGGAAGGAGGATGAGAGGCACGTTGAGGAGGAGACAGAGAGCAAGGTAGAAGTCCAAGGGGTTGCTAGCAAGTGCAGGAGGGTAAGGAAAGCCTTGAAGTGGAGGGAGAATGCGAAAGGGCTCGTATGGAGGAGGTATGTGGATGGCATGGCTTGGATTTTGGAGCATGGAGGGGGGGAAGGGAGGGAGTTCAGGTGCAGCCACTGCATTGAGGGGGGCAGCAGCAGCAGCAGCAGCAGCGACGGGGGCAGTGGCAGCAGCAGCAGCAACGACAGTGGTTCTGGGGTCAGCAGTGCGAGCAGCGGTGCTCCCAAGGGCATGCACGTGAGTGGTGTAGGTGCGACCGATTTCGCCCTCGCTGTCACTACAGTGTTGTTGCAACCAGAGCACTGGAAGGAGGCACAGTTGTACTTTCATGATGCGAATCCTGTGAGCAAGATACAGGTAGAGAAGGCAGCTGTATATGTAGCCAGGAAGAGGGTGCTGCAGCATCGCCCGAATGAGAAAACGGGGATGGATGGAGGAGACGGGGCAGGTGTGGGAGGGGCTCAGCCCCCTCAGCCCCCTCAGCCCACTCAGCTTGCTACAGCCATTGCTACAAATGCTGGGCTCGTGCCTGTCGATAGGCCAGAACCAATCAAAAGACTTGTGCCTGTCAACACGAACCTTGTGGTTGCTGCATTCACCTATCGGGCCCGTTGCATCTTGCAGTGGGTCCGAATCTACGGCCCAGATTCCATCTCAAGAGACCAGTGCTCGAAAGACGGTGCTCCGAGCAAGGTATGGGTTATGCGCCACCCACTTCGGGATCTTCCGAGCCTGCTGGTCAGGTTTGGCGCCATTCCCAAGCCTCTGGAGGGAAGCGACGTTCCGTTGGAGTGGGAGGAGTGGCCTCGGGGCGATGAAGCTGCTGCAAAGTTTCCTGTCAACCCGAAAGAGCGATGTTTTGGGCTTGGGATTGTGGAGGAGTGCAGTGGACCAGCAGAGAAGCGGACATCGCCTCAACCTCCTCGGCACACATCTGAAGCAGCAGGGGAAAGCAGGAGTGCACGGGGAAAAGGTTGTAAGGCAGCAGGGCAGGAGTGCAGTGTGGAAGCCACACAGAGCAGAGCGAGTGGGAAAAAGGCTGAAGCACCTGGAAACGCCGAGCAGAGAGTCACACTACCGCCCGCGAGAAAGAATTTTCCTATCGTGCGCTGCGAGGCAGATGTGGAGTTGCTGGTGGGGCTAGCCGGTTACGTATTGGACCCTCCTGCATGCACCCACTGCACCCGCTGCTCCACTGACTTCATGAATTTCGCATGCTCCGTTGCTGTCATTGCCAACTTTGCCTACCGCCCTGTCAGTCACCTGTTTGCCCGGGTTCTCTCGGCGTTCCCGCCTGCCTCCCCTGGGTTTGTCAAGCTGGTAGAGTGCTTGGACCTCCCTGCTCCCCTGCCCGGGCCTGTGAATGTGCGTATGCTGCTGGAGCGAGCCGAGCAGGTGCCTCTTTACTTCCTCATTCACATGGCTGTGTGGTGCGCGCACGCTCTTTTAAAAAACGATATGGACGAGCGGGAAGGCAGTGGAAAAGGGAAAGGGGGCACAGGTGGGAGGTTGGGGGTGCAGAGCCGCTGGGATGGTGAGGAGGGTCAGGAGAACGGTGGAGAGGTGTGGGAGGAGGTGGTGATGTGGTATTCCTCGGTGATGGCTGCATGGAGGTTCAACGTGGGGAGCAAGGGAGAGAGCGAGGAGTGCAGAGGCAGCAGGAAGTGGGAGAGGCCGGAAAGGGGGTGGGACATTACATGGATTCTTGAAGCAGCGATTGTCCCCAGGTACTGTGAGGGGTTGCAAGGGAAGCGTGGGACTCCAACGGAGAGGAGCACTGGTGGCAGCAGCAGCAACTTGTTGAAGTGGGGTTGGGCGGGTGGCAGCAGCAGCAACCGAAGTGAGAAGTGTAAGAAGGGGGAGGAACCGGTGCACCTGAAGGCATGGCCAGGGGGGGTCAACCTGGTGGCATGTCTGCGAGAGATGCTGCTGGGGGAGCCCTGCTACCGCCCTGCCTCCCCTGCTACTCCTCCTGCTGCCACGTCCACCCATGCTGCTTCTTCCACCTGTCCTGCTGCTGCTGTGTCTTCTCGTCCTGCTGCCTCGCCCAACCCCACTTCAACAAGCATTGGTGTTCCTGCTGCTTCTGCCGCCGCTGCTGCTGCTGCTGCTTCAGATGACCAAGGCCGTGTGTGCGGTGATGCGGGGTGTGGGAGGGTGGAGGGTGGTGGTGGTGGGAAGTTGAGGAGTTGTGGTGGGTGTGGCAAGGTGGCGTATTGCAGCAGAGGCTGCCAAAAGACGCATTGGCCCTCCCACAAGCTCACATGCCCCGGCAGGACCAGCGGGAAGTGGCGTGGGAAGGATGGGAACCGAGATGGCTGCGAGAAATCTGGCAAGGAGAGTGGTTGTGAGGTTAGTGGTGACAGCGATGGTAAGGAAAGGTGGGGGAATGGTGGAAAGATGATTGGCGAGCTAGGTTGCACAGGAAGGTGCATGGACAGCCTTGAAAGCATCAGCGAGGAGAGTTGGATGAGGGGTGGCGAAGTTGCGGGAAAGAAGGAAGAGTGAGGAGGGGAAGGGAAGGGAGGGGAGGGGAGGGGAGGGTAGGGGAGGGGAGGGGAGGGGAGGGGAGGGGAGGGGAGGGGAGGGGAGGGGAGGGGAGGGGAGGGGAGGGGAGGGGAGAGGAGGGGAGGGGAGTGGAGGGGAAAGGAGGGGAGGAGAGGAGAGGGGAGGGGAGCGGAAGGCAGGGCAGGACAGGGGAGGGGATGAGAGGGGAGTAGAGGGGGGGATGGGAGGGGGGGGGGGGGGGAGGGGGGATGCCGATTTGCCGTTGTGGGTGGTTTATTGTAGAGTTAACACAGACTGAGTGCTGAGGCAACCCATGTTCTAAGTTCGAGTGTTGCAGTACTGGCTTAAACTCGAGTGCAGTAGACATGTTGGATTTTTGTGCAGAAGTTGAGCATGGCGGCTCCATGAAAAGACTAAGCAAATTGAAGTACAGCATATTTGTGAGATGCAAATCAGTTAAGATGTTATGCTATTCAAAATTGTCCATAACTTCCCAGCTTTTCAACAAAAATTTCCCAACTTTTTTTTCCGTAATACTGAATGTATCTTGAAAGTCCACCATTTGTTTTTTTCCCTTCTTACCAAGTCTCTTTTTCTCCTCCCTCACCAACGTTATTGACAAATGCATATGTCATTTTCATGGACCCAGCTTTTATTAAAAAAGGGTCTCCCAAAAAAGGAGGCGATGTGGATTTTGGCGGTGACCGTTGGGTCACTAACAGTGATCCGAACCGCCTGAGATGGGAAACTAGGGACTGCGCGATATTAATATTGGCGAGTAAGGATGTAGCGAAATGAAAGGTTCACACGGGTGCTGTTCGATTGCGCGGTTCGACTGCCAGCTGCGCCGGCACTCGAATGAACCTTTCAGTTTCTGAGTTGGATTGGATCAGCTATTCAGATCTGCTTACCTTAGAGAAGGCAACCTCTCTGTTGGCTCCATAGCAGTAGGAGTAATTTGCGATCAGGCCACTCAACTTGAGTCTCGCGTCTTTTCTTGATCGGTTAGCGTTTCCTGCGGTGGCAAGATGGCCACAGGGAGCGCTCCTATCGTTTGGAAGGAGGCCCTCAGCGTGAGTAGGAGAGATTGAAGGTAGATTTATGTAGATCGACCAGGAGGGACTGATCGGTTTCGTGTGCTCCAACTGCTTGCTGATAACATTAGGTCGATTGCTCCTGGACGACTTCTGAGATTTACGACATGGGTCATTTTTCCCACCGTATCTCCTTGTGCAGTTGACAAATCTGGGGGTCAATCAACGGTTCATCAACTTCACTCATGTCACGATGGAGTCCGAAAAGTATATCTGTGTCAGGGAAACGGCTCCGTCGAACAGCATTGTCATCATTGACATGGCGACGCCAATGCAGCCTTTGAGGAGGCCTTTCACTGCTGACTCAGCTTTGATAAATCCTGACAGCAAAATCTTGGCGCTCAAGGGTCAGTTCGCTGCTTGTTCGTCCTTACGTTTGAGGATGTTCTTGGGTCAGCTCAAGAGTCAGCTCTTGGCGTTCGGATCACTTAGACTTTTCGGTTTGAACGTGCAGCCGCTTTGATTAAAGGGACGAATCACTTGCGGATTCTCGACATCGAGGCTAGGGCTAAATTCAAGTCGTACCGGATGCCAGAGGAGGTCAGCACCAGATTACAGTTGCACCTGCCATCAGTTTGAAAAGCTTTACTTACAGATTGCTCTCTCGCTCTTTGCAGATTGTGTACTGGAAGTGGATTTCCAACGAAGTCCTCGGCCTCGTAACTCTGACATCTGTTTACCACTGGTCGATCGAAGGTTGGAGTTTTTGACTGCATCATCTGCCAACCCTTTCACATTCAAAATTCTCTTGAATCAACATAGGCAAGCTTTTGCAGCGAAGATGCAGTACTGTACTGAGACTTTTTATTCCCTTTTTCTTTGTGTCTCGACCAGGCGAGGTAAGACCCGTCAAGATGTTTGAGCGGACAGCAAACTTGAACGGCAGTCAGATAATCAACTACCAGAGTGATCCCTCTGGCAAATGGCTCGCTTTGATTGGCATCGCCCCTGGTGCTCCTGAGGTATGCAGAAAGTCTTGCCCTTTAAAGTAACCAGAAGTTGCGAGAATGGTTATTGATGATGTTTGCCTTGGTGGTTGCTTGCAGCGTCCACAACTCGTCAAGGGAAATATGCAGCTCTTTTCCGTGGATGAGCAAAAGAGTCAGGCATTGGAAGCGCACGTAGCTGCGTTTGCCTCTGTGAAGGTCTGCTGATTCCGTAATCCTTTCACAAGATATTGTACATTGAGCGCATGTGAAGTGTTTGGATTGTTAAGCAAGTACTCAACTGTCTGTGATCGCGCAGGTGCCAGGAAACGACACTCCTTCCCTTGTCATTGCGTTTGCCACCAAGACCATCGCTGGCGGACAGCTTATTTCGAGGTTGCATATTATGGAGCTTGGTGCTCAGCCAGGTCAGCTAATCTCTAGTTTCGTACGAAATCATTATGTCTCAGAATATATTGGTTTAGCTGACAAGATAAGCCTGGTTGTTTTGTTGCAGGCCGTGTTCCTTTCACTAAGAAGCAGGCCGACCTGTTTTTCCCGCCAGCTTTCGCTGATGACTTTCCGATCGCCGTGCAGGTGAGGAAGCTTGCGTTTAATGCTTCACCCCACAAACGATTCCGACCCTCCGCGCTTCTGCTGCTCAACCCCCTTGTTCTCCTCCCGTGTTCGCCCGCCGCCCTTTACCCCTTTCCCCCCTCGTTAAGGTGTCAGCAAAGTTCGGTCTGGTATATGTCGTCACCAAGTTGGGCCTGCTCTTTGTGTACGACCTCGAGTCCGCTACACCCATCTACCGCAATCGCATCAGCCCCGATGTGATCTTCCTGGCAGTCGATGCTCCCAGCGTGGGCGGTTTCTATGCCGTGAATCACCGCGGGCAGGTGCTGCTTGCCACGGTGAACGAGCAGACCATTGTCCCGTTCGTCAGCGACCAGCTCAACAACCCGGAGCTCGCGATCAGCCTTGCTCGCCGCGCGAACCTTCCTGGTGCCGAGAATCTGATGCCACGAAGTAGTGGCCGAAAAGGCGTGGTAGTGGCCAAAACGAGCGCGAGAAGCCGGGCACCAGCAGTGGGGCGAAGCGGGGAGAAGGGGCGTCGAGTTTCCCAGAAAGAGGATTTGGTCTGCTTGCAGAACAGTTCTTCCAATGTGGTCAACCGGACCGCCCCAGCCATTACTCGCCAGAGCCTAGGTACGTCTGGGCGTTGAGGTTGAGTTAGAGAGTGTTGGTCCTTGAGCTGAAAGAGTTGGGCGTTGCCAGGGAAAGCCACTTTTGCCATTGGCCTGTTGGAAGGCGATGAAAGAGGGGTGTTTTTGAGATAAATTTGACGCTGGGTTGGCCTGTCTGGGACGGTGGGTATTCCAGGCCCGTTACCTGCACTATGTCTCTTTTTCTCTCATCCCCTCACTTTTCTTCCTTTACAGAAGCTCCCTGTGAGGAGGATCCAGCAGCAGCAGAAGGGGCAGCAGCAGGTGCTGCAGCAGTAGCACCACCACCACCATCAGCAGCAGAAGGGGTGGCAGCAGGTGCTGCATTAGTAGCACCACCACCATCAGCAGAAGCAGAAGGGGCAGCAGCAGGTGCTGCAGCGGCTGCAGCAGCAGCAGCAGCACCACCACCATCAGCAGCAGAAGAAGGAGCAGCAGCAGGTGCTGCAGCAGTAGCACCACCACCATTAGCAGCAGCAGAAGGTGCAGCAGCAGGTGCTGCAGCAGTAACACCACCACCATCAGCAGTAACAGAAAGGGCAGCAGCAACCGCTGCAGCAGCAGCAGCAGCACCACCACCATCAGCAGCAGCAGAAGGGGCAGCAGCAGGTGCTGCAGCAGTAGCACCACCACCATCAGCAGTAGCCGAAGGGGCAGCAGCTGCTGCTGCAGCGGCTGCAGTAGCAGCAGCACCACCACAATCAGCAGCAGCAGAAGGGGCAGCGGCAGGTGCTGCAGCAGTAGCACCACCACCATCAGCAGTAACAGAAAGGGCAGCAGCAGCTGCTGCAGCAGCAGCACCACCACCATCAGCAGCAGCAGCAGCAGCACGAAGGGGGCGAAGCGCAGGTGTTGTGGTAGAGAAGGAAGTAGCACAGCCATATATGTGTCGAGAATACTCACTGGCAGAGCTAACCGAGGCTACAGGACATTGGGCTGAGGGGAACAGGATAGGAAATGGCGGCTTTGGGGTTGTCTACAAGGGTGTTTCTCCCGATTGCAATCAAGCTTGGGCAGTCAAGCGAGCTCGAGTGCTCACAAACGACTTCCAAAGAGAGGTGAGTCAGCTTTGAAAATCCTAAAAAACGACCAGCACAATTGTTTCAAGAGAGAGGTATCATGTTCTGGGTTTTGGTTGGTACCACGTCCCGTGCTGGTTTCTTGTGCCAAGTCCCATCACTTGATTGTTCATTGGCTTGTTCACCATCATTTCCCCCCCCTCAGGTGAAATGGATGGCAAGCAAGCACCATCCGCATCTCGTGCGTCTGTTGGGCTATTGCATCGACTTTGACCCGTCCACACGAAACTTGGAACAAATTCTTGTGTATGAGTTTATGCCCAACAGTGACCTTGACAGCTGGATCGGCCCTGGTGTCTCCAGCCCTCTTTCGCTGCAACAAAGGCTGGACGTTCTGATTGGAGTGGCCAAGGGGTTGCAGTATCTTCATGACTTCAAGATTGTGCATCGCGACATCAAGCCGGCCAACATTCTCCTTGATGGGAAAATGCAGGCATGCTCAAAACTGTAAAGCTGGGTTGCATGTGAAAGAAGGTGCTTTGTTCATCCGTTTTGTTCATCCTTTTCAGCCATCATGTGATTTTGTGAACAGCCCAGCATAGAGTTACGTCACCTAATCTCCCGTTGCATGATGATGCTGTTGTGGTTGATGATGGGCAGGCAAAGGTTGCAGACTTTGGGCTCGTGAAGCTGCTTGGAGGGACATCTGTGGCCATATCTGAGGCTGCCACTCGGCTGGTGGGAACACTGGGCTATATGGACCCTGAGTACTGCAGCTCACACAAGCCTTCTCCTGCTGTTGATGTGTACAGGTGAGTAGATTGGCACAGCACAGGTAAGCACACTGGTGCATGTCAGAAGATTGATACAGATTAGCAGATTGGGTCGAAATAACCATCCAACAGGCATCTTATGTTTGTGAAAATTCTTTGGATTTTTTACCTTCACCGTGTTTTTTTGCCTCGTTTCATAGTGGCTGTTCACGGCGGCTGTCATTTGAGGAATGCATCGGCATGCCTGACCAATCAAAGGCTCTGAGATTCTCGGCCACTTAACGATGGGGGTTTGGGACACAAGTGGTTGTGAAGAAGGTCATATTAATCATGATGATTTTTTCTATGGAAATTGTCCTATGCATCTTCAAGTGTGTCACACATAAGCATCGTTTCACAAATGATGTCCTTTTTGGTTGCCTTGATTGCAGTTTTGGTGGCGTGGTGATGCCAATGGTCGTCATGGGGCGCGAGGCTGTGCATGTGATAAAATATATTTTCTTTGATGATGCCCTTATGCTTGGCTTGCAGTTTTGGCGTGGTGATGCTGGTGGTTGTAACGGGGCGCAAGGCTGTGCTTGTTATAGAGGACGATCACGTCAATATCAAGAGATGGGTGAGACACAGGTCACAATGGGTGAGACACAGGTCACAGTGGGTGAGACACAGGTCACAGTGGGTGAGACACAGGTCACAGTGGGTGAGACACAGGTCACAGTGGGTGAGACACAGGTCACAGTGGGTGAGACACAGGTCACAGTGGGTGAGACACAGGTCACAATGGGTGAGACACAGGTCACAGTGGGTGAGACACAGGTCACAATGGGTGAGACACAGGTCACAGTGGGTGAGACACAGGTCACAGTGGGTGAGACGCAGGTCACAATGGGTGAGACACAGGTCACAATGGGTGAGACGCAGGTCACAGTGGGTGAGACGCAGTTCACAGTGGGTGAGGCGTACCTCAGAATGGAATACAAAGCTTAGAAAACGTCCAAATGGGGCACTAACACCATCTTTCGTAAGTCCAAGTGCATTACCGCAACCAGACACAATAAAAAGGTTTCTAACACCTTGACCAGAAACATGTGGGCTGGTTCATCCTCTCTTCCTTTCTGGTCACATGAACCAGCCTACACGTTTCTGGTCTATGCTCTATTGGGCAAGGCGAGTATGATGATGATAAACTCTCAAGTCTTGTTTCACCTTGCATGTGTCAGTCACACAATCAGCTTGCCTATCCTAGCTGTCTACCTTGTTGCTTCTCTCCCTAGCGCATGTTGGTCCTCTCACACAAACCGCCCCACCTATTTCCAAACTACTCACCCATCCCATGTGTCTATATCCTTCTCGGTAATTCAACGTTTTCCTGTCACCTATTTTACTCTAATACCAGTGTATTGACAGACTTGCTCTTCATGCAACACTCCTGGAAAAAGGAAGAAGAGAAACCTTTTTTTCGTATGCCATATCCTTTCAACCTGGCAGGTAGCCCCACTGGTGATCTCAGGAGCAGTGGCAGAATTCAAGGACCCTCACTTGGAAGCACCGGATGATGTGGTGCTGCGCTTGGCTCGCCTTGCCCTCTCCTGCACTGCTCTGCCTGGGGTTTCCCGTCCCTCCATGCTCCTAGTGCTGGCTGAGCTGGTGAGGATAAAGCAGGAGATGTTCGGGGCGCAGGTGAGCGCGGAGGTTTCTGGCATCGACACGGAAATTGGAGGCTCTGATGACTACTCTGACTTCAGTGCTGAAATGGCCCGCGCGATTCAAGCGGCTGTTAGTGGTGGCTCCTCAACCAGCATGCCATAGGATATGAGAAGAACATGCACCATGTGCCTCAAGAGTCCGCTATTAGTACTCCGTAAGGGTGCAGTACAACATGTGCTGCACTGGTATTCCTTCCATTACAACAGAGCCAATGGTTTTATATGCTGTGTTTAGTGCATGAGAGAGAGGGAGGCTGGGTGGGGTGCCAACCAAGCAGGGCTGACGATATCAGGGTAATTACCCTGATTTCAGGGTGATTTCAGACTTTCCACTTTGCGGAGACTGAGATTTCAGAATTACTGAGTTCTCAACCCTGTTCAAATCAGAGTAGTAGTTTTCCTATCCCTGATTTTGAGTCTAGTGTAACAGACTAGCCTGTTAGTGGACCCTGACTTAATAGGGTATCGAATCTGTGGTCCCTGATTTTGACCTTATCGAGAGGAAGGTTCTTGGAATTTTCCTTCCGATAATCCCCCTTCGGTTTGATCGCAGTACAGCCAGCGCGTGAGCGATGGACAGCAGCATGTCTGACAGGCAAGTACACTCGATGTTTGTTATCTTCACGAGATGCGAATAAGTTGTTCTTTTGTCGTAAGTGCGTGTGCGTAAAGTTTCCAGAACCTATTTTGCGTTTCGCACAGCGATGTTGGCCACATTCAGGTATCCAATCGAAATGATCTCTTCCCCCCACTACAACGTGTGCATAAATACCGTTTCGTAACACTAAAAACGCGGAAATTAGCGCGCTCAAAGTGTGCGCGAAACACAGAGCACAAACTTTACGCAGAGGGAAACTTTTTCCCCTGTAACAAAGGGCGCGTTACTACTCTGATCCTCGATTTTCGACCCTGAACAATCAGAGTTATATACTTTTCAACCCTGAGCAATCAGAGTAGCATTATTCTGAAAAATGTGCACTCATAATAGAGGGGAAAAAATTTCCCCGGAATCAGGGAGGCCTAATATGAAACGTCAGCCCTGCAACCAAGGTATGCGACAGTCAGCTTGAGAGGGATATCAGTAGCTTCTTGAAAGATGCATGGATGTGCGGCAGGGTGCAATGAATCATCAGAATGTGGAGTGGACAGGGCCCAAAGTTTTGACCAGTACTGATACGGTAGCACACACCTCTTTCTTTTTTTCCGTTTGTTTTTTTCCTATGCGCCCTAGGGTGACATCATGTTATGCACAGGTGTTACGGGTGCAATGAATCGAAGTAGCGAGAATTGCACTAAGGTGTCAAATGAGTACAAAATGTGAGCGAAGGCATGAACAAACATTTATACGCGAATGGTGCAAACGGTAACGCGGTGCGTGCGAGTTAGTTAGTGCTACGCTGCGAGCGAGGCCCGGGCTAGTCCCGAAGCGTAGGCCGACACGGCCGGGCCAGCAGTGCGAGGTTTGGTGAAACAGTGCGCACGAAGTCGGCGAAGCCCCGTTAGCAGTAACGGGCGAACAACGGCTGCTGCTGTACGCGATGTTTCAGGGCGCGCTAAGGAATATCGAGAAAATTCCTTACAACAGCAGATTAAGGCATAAAACCTTTCCATTTGTAGTCCTTCCGTTTGAAACGTATAAAAAGACCAGTTATACACAGGTCTAAAGGGTAAATCTGCATTGTGTACACGTTAGGCTGAATAGTTTGTAGATGTTCATTTTCAACTAACACCATTACGCAACCGCAAAATAGTTGTACCGTATTAAAGCATCTTAATTCGCGAAAGCACTAACGAAACCATAACAATTTGCTCAATTCGTTTTTTCTTCCTCATACGCAGACTATCCCTCCTGTCCTTATGTTTTCTTGCAGGAACGAGTGCATATCCACAAATGTGATTTAACGCCTCTCGTCATGGCGAATGGCTACAGTCGCTAGACATCTCCGCAAACAAATGAACGCACTAACTAAGCAGCTGCTAACAACATTACTCAATAGCTGCACAATAATCTAACTCAAATTTTGCACTCCAGCTTAGAACACGGGTCACTTCAACGCTCGGTCTATGTCTAATACACCCTTCACGATGACACAATCGGGATCCATTATCCTCTTCTCCCCTCCCCTCCCTCCCTTTCCCTCCCCTCTCATCACTCTTCTTTCCTTCCCACGACTTTGTTACCCCTCATCCAACTCTTCTCACCGAGGGTTTCAAACCTGTCATTGTAACTGCCTAAGCAAGACCTTGCCAATCATCTTTCCACCATTCACCACTCCTCTTTCCTTACCACCACTGCCGCCACTACCCTCACAACCACTCTCCTTGTTGATTTTCTTGCAATCATCTCGGTTCCCATCCTTCCCACGTCCCTTTGCGCTGGTCCTGCCGGGTCGTGTGAGCTTGTGGAAGGGCTAGTGCGCCTTTTGGCATTTTCTGCTGTGATACCCCACCATGCCACACCCACCGTAACTCCCCAGCTTCACACCACCACCACCCTCCACCCTTTTACACCCAACAGCATCGCACCATGGCCTTGGACATCTGAAGAAGCAGCAGCAGCATGGATGCTCGTTGACGCGCGGGTGGGGCGAGGCAGTAGGACGGGACACTGCAGCAGCGGGATGGTTGGAAAGAGCAACACAGGTTGACGTGGCGAAAAAGGAAGGCAGGGCAGTAGCACGGCTCCCCTTTCTTGCACTTCTTCTCGCTTCTGCTTCTGCCGCTGCTGCTGCTGCTGCTGCTGCTCCAACTACTTCTGTTTCCACCCACCCACTCACATTTGCAGCTGTTGCTGCCAGTGCTGCTCTTATTTGGAGCCCTTGTAGCTCGTGCAACCCCTCACAGAACCTCGGGACAATAACTGGCTAAAGAATCCACGTAATGTCCCACTTCCTGCTGCCTCTGCACTCCTCGCCCTCTCCCTTGCTCCCCACGTTGAGCCTCCACACAGCCATCACCAAGGGAAAATACTAGTAACGAATTACATGCCACGCATGCTTAAATGAATGATGAGGCATGCTATATGGATGCATACCTAATACAGATATACGCATGAAAATGCTTTTGTATACATATGATATGTTGAAATGCACCACAGCAGTATATCATACAAATGCGTAATAGTTAACGACCCAAAAACTAGGCTACCGCATCCCCTGCCTAGCATGGGGGCGGGCGCCGGAAACTACATAAGATGGGCATCCAGCGCCGCGAGGATACCACGCATGGTCCTCCACAGTTGCTGGACCACTGACGCAGACGCGCCTACAACTTCAATCCCGCCCCCAGTCCGGAGGTGTGCGGTCAGACCCTGGACCGTTTCGTCTAGTTGTGAGACCGCAACGCCTCCCAACGCGGGCGCTCCCAACACGGGTAGGAGGAGGAAGGCGAGTTGAGCAGCCGCCGCCAAGCAATCAGCTCGAGCACCACGATCGAGAGTGCTCCATGGGCTTTAGAGAATGGCAAAATGCGAGTTCACTAGAATCACTGTCAAGGCCTGCTAACACTCCACCAAACGCCACAGCTGCGCGAGAGTCGCCGTGGGAACTTCGGCCACTCCGGTCGCCAGTGCTGCAGGCGGAACGGGAAGAGGGGGCGGAGGCTACACGGAGCATCAGCAAAGCGCCGCGGAGGGACAAAGGCCCCCCTCGCGCCTCCGCCTCCCGCTCCCACAAATCCCGTGTCCGGAAGAGGGGGAATACAGGGCAGAGGCGGGTATTGCGAGGCAGAAACGGGACGCACGAAGGCAGGCGGAGCATGATCACCGCCAGGAGCGGGAATCCGCGGATACGCCGAGGCGTGTGGACCAGGAGTAGCAAGGGGTGCGGCCGGAACCTGCACATTCACATCAGCGGGTGCGGGCGCAGGAACGGCGAGAGCCAGGGAGCTTCCAAGATTCGGTGCGCCATTCAGAGCATTGCGCATCGCCGCAGCTAGCATCCCCGGGAAATCCTCGCGAAGCTGCTGCATCTCGCTTGGCCCACCGCGCCTGCGACCGTGACCTCCCCACCAGCCACTGTGGCCTCCGCAGTGCGCCGACCAATACGACGAGGAGGGGCGACGCCGAGGAGAACCTCGCCCCCGATGTGCTGCTGCATTGCCCCCCGCGGCACTGCGTATCTGTGACACCGCGAGCCGCTGCGCGACGGGATGTACCGGCGCAGCCGCAAGGGCCACCAGGTGGGCAGAGTCGGGGCCGGCGCCCACGACTATCCCCGGCGCAGGGCCCCTAGCATCAGCTTGGACAGTCGGCGGCGCCACAAGCGACGGCTGCGCAACGGGAACCGGCGCGCCGCGCCGGACGCGGGAACAACGTGTGGATGGCTCGGCGGGGAAGCCGGCACCGACGGGACTGGAACAGAGGACGTCACAACAGCAGCAGGAGGAGCCGGGGGGGCAAAGGGAGCAGCAGCAATAGCTACAGCAGCAACAGGGGCCGGAGGCGGAGCAATCGCGCTATCAGCGGTGTGGCCTTGGTCCACCGCTGAATTCTCCGCTTCATTCGCCATTGCGGCGAACGCGCCGGCAGCAGGCGATCGAGGATGCACGGATGCGTCAGAACGCGGGAGTAGGTAGTCGCGAAAATCCCCAGCTGAACGCGACCAGTACGCGGACACGTGGGGGTCGAGCCGAAGGTCGCGGACGTGGTAGGGGCACTCGTGAAGGAGGTCCGAAGAACGCGTTCCAGGCAGCAGCGAGAAGGGCTTTAACCGAATTAGTTAGAAGTAATGAAGAAGACGAAGTATCGGGGAGCATTTATGAGGCGGAGGAGGAAGAAGCAGACTCACCCACAAGTTCGAATGCGTCAGAGGAGGCCCAGTCACAAACTCCAGCTCGGAAGAGAATCAGCTCAACCCATGCATGAGGCGCGTCAACAAATTTTAGAAACACATCCATCCAGCCGCGACCCTCATCACATATTCAAACCGCTTCCCGCCTCCCGGTTTTAGCCACTGCCAACCATCCCGCCCAACCGAACCTTGTTGGAATAACTGAACAGGAATGAATGAACTAGCAGTGAAAACAATACAAGTACCTAACCCTAGAATTGTGTACCCCATATAGGCTAACCCACTGTAGCCTAAACTAACGCAACATATATAT